ACTGCCTGCAATATTAATAAACTCTATCCAGCAGCTCACAATCAATTGGTAAGTTACTGACACAGATGAGTTATTAGGGATGACAGCTTTAGGAGAGCAAGACTTGGTTCTACAATTATAATGGCATTATTATTTAATTACCAGTGGCACTGTGCAAAACATCTACAACAGCAAGAGAGTAACCAAGAACTCGTAAAAGAGAAGAATAATCCAGTCATCTAAACACAAAAAGTAGCCAAATTATCCACCAGTTTTCCCAGATGAATTGTGAGCAATTCCAGGTGAGAACACACTATTCCATCTCCAGAGGTTATTTATGCTGCCGTGTCAAATGCCTTTTGAAAATAACATGCATATGATTCTGTGGTCCTCTAGTCCTCTAAAAGTGTCTTTACACATCAGGGTCTTGCAGAGATGTTTTCTAATGTGCTATAATACTATAAACTTCGGACTATTTTTTAAATCACAAATAAAAGCAGCTGATGAAAAATGTATAGAAGATCATATTAAAATAAAAATAACAGTGAATAAATATATTGCGTTTGAGATGTATAATGTGACGATGGGCAGTTAGATTTGTGGTTTACCATCCTCCCACCTCTGATTATCACCCCCCAGCTCTGCAAAGCTGGTATCGAGTTGGCTAGCAGCCCTCAGCCAGGGGCTTTGGCCAATATTAAGGATTAAAACCCAGCAAGTCTATAAATACACCTAGCAGACTAACGTCAGCACCCAGCCAGCCACTGTACTCACCACTCACTGCTGGATAGCTGTCATATTTTTTTCCCTTTTCCACTGCCTCTTTCTGGCTTTTAATTTCTCCCTCAGTCTTTCAGTTTCCCATACTCTCACTGCTTTCTTTTTGTGTTCCAATTTCCCCCCTTCAATTCTTTCTTTCACAGTCCATCCTTTCTCTGTCTCCCTCCATCCTTCTCATACTTTCTTGCTTGGCAGGGCCTCTTAATTGGAAACAAGCTGTGAGACGGCTTTCAGCTTGAGGTTAAAATTGCATCTGACCTGCCTCCTGCTGTATCTTTTCTTCTCTCTTAGCTGTTTTTACATGCTCATACTCGGTGGCTGAGAACAGATGTAGGAAGGACAGACTGTGGAAAGAATGGAGCAGAAAGTTCACTCTTCCCACTGACTAGAAACAGCAGTAGGATGACAAGTAAAATATGTGTACTTGCTCTGAGTCTTTGTTATTTAGACCTGTATACAGCTTAAAATCTATATGCATGCTAATGTGGTGGGAACTATTATTTCCACACAGTTTGTCAACACTGAAGACTCATGAGGCTCACAAACAAGAACACTTCTTTAAAATTTAGTTCAATAAGAAACATTAGAAATTGTATGTATTGTATGTATAATACAATTAATTGCCTATTGCAAATATTAAAATGTTGAATCAAATTAATTAGTGGAGACTGGTTAATTTAAACTGACGTTACTGGTTTGGCTGGAATTTAAAATTTTATTAAAACATTTATAAATCCAAGTTAATTTTAATTATTATTAAAATGCAAAAAACATGTTGAGTCAGAATGTAGATGAATTGGTTGACTACAGTGTGTGAGTCAAGGAGTGAACTGCTGCCTACTCTAAGGAGAAGCTGAATCTAGTTCATATTTTTACAATCTGCAACATGTTACAGGCTGCTTACTGTAGCTCATTTGTTGTTTACAGCACCAAATATCTCACAGGAACATTTCTTTTGAAAAGCTGAATCATGACACAAAAACAAATACTGATCTCCTTGGCAACTGCCATCCTTCACTACTGTCCCACCCACGTCTTTGGCCCCTCTAAGTCTCACTCCCATGGAAAGAGATGCACAGCTGGGTAGCAGGCCAAGGATAGAAAGTGGGTCTCTGGGTATGATTAAGGATGAGAATGATTCATTTTCTAAGAGACCGATGAATCAGTCTTGTTGGATCTAGTTGTAACATCAGGACACCCCCCCTGCAGCCCAGAAAAGCTAATCCACATTCTAATGTGCAGTTCCGACAGGTGTAATAATTTATCAGATTATTAATCTGTAATAATCCATTATCCTAGTGACCAGTGTCACCAGAAATCTATATTTAATACATAACAAACCTTGTGTGTGTTTGAGATCAAATTAAGATAGTGCTGCCCAAAAAGTACATTTTGCTCTACCAGTGGATCGCAAAAGGAATACTGGTAGATCACAAGCAATCAAAATAATATACTTCTGTAGTGTCCCAAGAACTGTGGGAATTGAATCGTTTTGTACTGTACAATGCCTCATCATATAATATATAAGATATATTCAGTTTATATGAGCAAATATATATTCAATATTTTCAATATAAATAAAAAGTGTGCCATTATTACTCTTGCCACAGAACAAAATAACAGTTGACAAATACTTTAATTTTTAAAACCTTAGTAAGTCATTGATAGGCAACACGTTCAACAAATAATAATTAGAATAGTGAAACTGTGACAAAACAAACTCCAGACATGTCCTGTTAGAGTGGAGCCCAGTTGCAGACAGAAGGAGCACATAGTCCAAATAGTAGTTGTTACTTGGGCTGTCTAACAATTCAAAGAAAAGCAACTGACACCAAATCGGTGTACTGTGTTTTACATTCTGTTTTATTTGTTTTACTTGTTAAAATGATGAAATTATAACAGGAAAAAGTTAAGTAAAGTATATTTAAACTGTAACACAAAATGTGTCATTTTTCTTGGTGTTCTTTTTTGCTCCACAGATGGAGTTGTGGTGGAGTTGTGAACATTACTGTGCATCTTGTCAGTCATCTTGTCAGCCATTGACTTGCTACTGCCCTGGGTTTGGTGAGAATGGTCTGACACAAGTCGGACTTCTGACCTGAAGTCAATGCCTTGGCAAACTAATGCTGAGCGCTGAGATAATATTTTAAGCTTGGATGCACGGGGAAAATAAAAACGCCTTCCCACAATATATGCAAATGACAACCTGCAGCCTGACTTCCATTGTTCCATTTCTGCATTTTTTTAATACTCGAACTCTCTGAGTCCTACCATCCTACTCAGGGCAAAATCAGCCTCAATAAGGGCAACTTTAAGCGGAGGGACAATAACAGTGTTGGAGATACAGTATGCGTTATTGTGCACATAGAATAATACTGTACATACTGTACATTTTTTAAACTTAAACTTGCAACTCTTTAATTTGGGAAATTATTATTCCTGGTTAATGTGTTGTTTTCGCCAGCCAAATAATCCAAGAACACAATTATACAAACCTAAACAAACCTGAAAATAACAATTACACTTTCTATAAATGAGCAGATATTCTGTTGTTGGACTGGAAATAAGTGTAAAGCCTGCTGATGTCACTGTGGTGTATTGTAGATTTACTGGCAGAAAACCACGAAATATTCTGTGACTGTGCAATGAAAGTGGTAAGGGTTAGTAAAGTAGTTTAAGCCCTTTTCTTCTAAATGCTATTTAATGACAGCAGGATTACATTTTCCAGTTACAGTTGTAGCTTCAAAACCATCTATATCACTATGTGGTATTGAAATCACTTTTTGGCATCACTTAGCAACAGGCATTCCAACGGATAAACAGGGAGCAGAAATTAAATGGATAGTCATTTTCTTAATCCTACAAATTAATTACATTAGCCAATATGTGCCTCCACAGATTTTGGGAAAGTCTGCAAGTCATTTTTTGGACATGAAGAAACAATATTTTGGATATGACATGACACCAACTAACTGACTCTGTATCTTTGGTTATATGCTTTCCTTTATCATGACAATCATATCACTAAACACTTTTAGCTAAAGAATAAAGTAGCCTAGAATACCAAGGACAGTCAACCATGAAGGACAATTTACGAGTGCCAGTCCAAGCTAAGAAATGTCTGTTTGCTGCTTGTTAGTAATAAATATTCCTATATAGCTATGTATGTTCTGGTATACAATTGCATTACAATCTATAGTCTCATGCAAAACTATTTGTGGAAATTTACTGTCAAATGCACTTTTTTAGTACCAATGGCACTTTTTTTGAATGGCATCGCCAACTACATGAAACAAAAGTTTTCATAATTGACCACAAAAACCATTGGCCAAGGTTGGCCATCAAAACAGAGCAACTAATAATTGAGGAGGGTCAGTAAGTCCTTGTTTCCAAACCACTCAGGGACACAAAGGACACTGGCTGAGGCCAAGGCATTGCTGGCTGATTCAGTGGGGTTTGACTGGGAAATGACTGAGAAAACAAAGCCCAGGACTTGCTTCCTCTCACTGGCACCAGTGCTTTGTCCCAGTTAATGCACACTAGTAAATACAGAGTCAAACAGCTCAGAGTCACCAGTAACAACACAGTATATTTTAGGGGAAGACAGATTAGACCCCAATAGTCAAAGCTAACAAGACAAACGCACAAGTGAAGGGGGCCGCACATAGAAGTACTCTAAGTCGATAATACTAATATGTGCACAACGGTGGCAAAGGTACTAGAGTATGTCCATTTTTGTGCAATTTTAAAGGCTGAAATGTGAAAAGTACCAAGCAGTTAATAGTTGAATAACATTAACACAGTGACTCTTTGGCAGACATGATAGGTTATTAATTAATAACAAAGCTATAAGCTATAGGGACTGTTCTATGTATATAATATTGACATTTCTCATTTAGAAAAACAAAAGTCAAAATTATATCTGAATAAAAGGGTGGAGTTTGCACTGTTTAGCACTTTTGTTTTGGTACCTACAATCGTCCAAGGCTGTATTATTTGATGTATTAAAATTTGGACAGCTGATTTCTGACTTAATGATGGGACAGTCTCTTCATGCCAGACAATGGTGTTTCTCCACTGCTACTGTAGTTTACCAGAAAATTGTGACATCGCTTCTGTTCGATATACCATACATGGCGCTTGCAATTTTTTTCAGGCAGAAAAAATTACACATGCTAACAAATGATAGAAACAGCTGTTTTGGAGTAATATCATCAATCAAATCATACAAAATTACTCACTTGTCATATTCTAGGTTGTCTTTGTCGCAGCGTGCATCCTTGTGCTTCTGCCAGTCCTTCCCATGCTTGCAGGTGGTGAGGAGAACCACATCCTCGGAGTTGTGAACATGGTACAATGCGTTTCGAGTATCTGACCCTATTCCAGTTAGGTATCTTTTCCCCTTAAATACAAGCATGTACTTACGAAAAGGTGGGATGGCATTATGTTTGAGATAGCCTCTTTGGCCTCCTGTCCTAGGGTGGTCTTTAGAAAAAAGGGGAATAGAAACGTCAAAGTTGGGTCTGAAGTTCTCCGTGCTGATGCTGGCCTTGGCTAACATGGCAAAGCCAATGTCAAAGCCCAGGTCTTCTGTGTAGTCTGGCCAGGTGCCAGAGTACAAGTTAAAGATGATGTGGTTTTTGCCTCCATTCCACAGCGGAAGGCTGGGGATCTTTGCTCTAAGACTGTGCACATACTGTGGTGACAGCTGGTCTCGGTCCAATGTGTCCAGACTCAGGACAAACAAGCACGCTTGTCCTGGGTCAGCTGTATAGAACCTGGAGCTTTCAATAGACAGCAAAATGTTCTGGTAACTCTCAGACATTTTCTCCCCTTTCTGCTGGGGATAGACATAAACTTTAAAGCCGTTCCTCTCACACAGGGTGAAATCAAAACAGGACTCCATTCTGCAGCGTCTTCCAGAGTAAACGCCAGTGTTAGCGTCCCTTTTCTGTCTGGGTGATATGTGTTCATTGTGATCATCGCTCCAGGCCTGATCCCAGGAGCTGAAACGCTGCAGGTATCCGGGGAAGCGACGCCACCGAGCCCAAGAGTGGTAACCGGTGAGGCTGCGTTCATCACGCTGGCTGGATCCGCGTCTGGACAGGGGGACTTGTATCCCGCCCAAACAAAACAGCATAATAAGACACGCACCGGCGGAGAACAGGATTAAGTACCGTTTTTTGGCCTGCATGTGTCCTTTGATCAGAGGTAAGGTGTCGGCCAATAAATCCAAGTAGTTCCCAAGTTTTGGTTTCACCACCGCCTGCGGGAACGCTCCGCCATCTTCCCACGGGCTGCAATGGCTGTGCGTTCACGTTTCCCACCTTCAGCTTCAGTGGCCTTTCACAAGTCCGGGAGCTGATCCAACGCATGTGGGCGATTTATAATGTTCATCCACTCTTCGTCTCCTCGTCAGTAACTATATCAATGACCTGACAACACCGTTCCTGTACAACAGAGGAGCCTAAGCCACTTTAATTTGAGCACCTGAAGTGGGCACCCAGTTTAACTTTTATATGAACATGCATATAAACACAATGACCGACGCTCTAGTTAAGTGGAATCACACGAAAACTAAAACGACAGCAAACTAAACGTGGATAAACTTTAGTCTGTGTATCGCAAACTTGTTGCCAGAACATTTTAACCATGGCTCTAATTAAATCATAACAACTAAAATGACAGAGTTTCAAAGAATTTTAAATTAGCCTCCAATTAAACGTATCACCACATAAATGTGTAATTTATGCTGTTTGGTTCTTTCATACAGCTGAATATAGTCGAATTAGCCTGCTAGCATGCTAACTACCTGGCTAGAATGTGAAAACATTCCCAGTTAGCCTGTTAGCTCAGCGACCGCATCAAAGTAGATTTAGCGGTGGTTGTTGAAGTAAAAACAGGGACTGCTTCTCTTCTCCATGACTATAATCTAGTCTTCCCATTACTCCAAGGATTGTGGAGATGGCTCTGCCCACGAGAGAGAACTCTGAAATTCTCAAAAAAAAAATTTTCAAAAGTGTTGAAACAGCAGCTTCAAACACATAAACACTCACAGACAGGAGAAGGGCTGTAAAGACTGAGTGGAGTGGAGCAAAGCAAAGCCGCACGGCAAAGAGTCCCAGCAGGACGACTGCTGATGATGAAGATATGACGTCCGTCCACCGCGCAAGGTGCGTTATCTTTGGTTTCTCCTACATCCGCGGCGGGCGGGGCTTACAGTGGCACTAAATTAATTCCAGGCAAAAAGAGAAGACAGTGTGCGACACTGCGCGGATCCTATCATAATTGTACAATGAGTGAGAAGCATCGATGTTGAATCAAATGTTTTGTGCTGTTGTTAAAATAATTTGATGTGACTAATTTGATTTGACTGCCCAAACTACAAAAAACTCACAGGGACCATGCACATTTTCTAATGTGGAAGATTTGGAAAATAAATAAATGCATGTCATCTTGAGTATTATTTATAATCATGGGGTATAGGTATAGCTAGGTATAGCTCTTGGTTGTCTTTAATTAACTTTGACCTTTATTTGGGAGAAGTTAATTCTATTCAGAAATTGAATACATTAGCAAACATTACGCTGGACTAGATAATAAAAAATACAAAACACCAATAAATAACTAAATATGGACATTACTATATCATTTGGCATTAATCATAGTGGGTTTTCAGAGCTACTCCCCTAACAAAAGTGTGAAAATTCAAAATGAGGAACATGACGCAGCATTCTTTAATGTGATTCAAACTGTTTAACGGTTATCTGTACTGCCCCACTTCCTCATGGATCACTGATCAGAGATAGTAAAGGATATGACGCCCCCCTCCTCACACCCTACCTCCTCCCTCTGTGGTTGACTCCCACCTCCTTGTCCCAATCATTCCTTCCCTGCCATCAGACTCCATTTTCAGTCTAGTGCACACTCTGGTCATCTTTCTGATGACTGATGTGTGCATAGATAGACGTGGCTCAGCACTTGGCATTCCACCAATGTGCTGTGCTTTATTTATGTGTCACTGAATTTTAATGCAAGGTCTTTAAAGTGTTCTCTTTATGTGGAACTGTGACATTTTCTCATGTCTTGAAATATGTTTTTGCACCTTCATCAGTCTATCTTCTACTGCTTATCCTGACCCAGGATTATACTGGTATGGGCGGTAGAGGTCCGGTCCATCAGCACAGAGTCACGCAGCCATTCAGTTAAATTAAACCTATGATGAATTTAAAAGTATCCTGTAGTCACATTTCCATAACCTATAATATATATAAACATGCTAAATACCACAGTGTAAATGAATGAGCATAAGTGGAAGACATGGTCTGTATTTAGTTTGTTAAGCCTGACGAACACTTAGGTTTTACACTACTGTAACAACAGCACAGACCCAACAGAGCTACAGTATATCAAGTGAACGGCCTTATTTAAATTGGGATGCATCTTTGGATGCACACACAACGCAAACACACACACAAACATTGAGGGTGTATTTTGGTCTAGCCATTATACAGTTTAATAGAAATGTGGAGGTGCTGACTCCAGGCTGTTGCCTTGGGTTGCAGAGTTGAGCCTTGGCCAGATTCAGAGCAGCCGGGTGATGAAGTCAGGGCTGCACTCCCACTGTGTCATAAACACAACCATGCCAGCTTCTAATTTGGATGCACTCAGGTCAGCATAGATTTCTCTGCCTGCTCATCTGCCAGCCAAGAAACTAAACAGTCAAATGGCAAATTGCATTACTCCTAGGCCCATTATAAGATAGTTAATTTGTTTTGGTGTTGGTGGAAAATGTAAGTTAATAACAACAAGTTAATATACGTTGACCTACCTTCTTTTCTGCTTTTCTATTACAAATACATATATATGTAAATATAATATATAATATATAAATAGATACTGAAAATATACTACACATATATATATACATATACATATATGTATATACTGTTTTCACTGAAAATGAAAATACCCTTGGTACAAACAGGTTTCAGCCAGAGGTCAATCACTAATGACTGGTTGTGGTGATAACATTCTTGGCATAAATCTCATGCAGAGCTGTGCTGTTCGGTGGAGCAGCACATCTCCCACAACAGCATTTCAAAACCTTTAACCCACCCTCACCACCCCAACCCCCTCCCCAACATTAATATTACAAAAAAAACCTATAAACCAAAATTGCTGCCTTATCAAAATGACTCTGGAGATCCTGTTCCCACGCAGTGAAATATATTCAGATATAATACAGACATATGAGTCCTGTATATGCTAGTGCAAAGCAGACGCACACAGTTGCTTGCCTCTTTCATGTATAACACAGCCTTGGTATGGGAATAATTTAATGTTCCCTAGTGACACAGACCCACAGCCTTGGTGCGGCGCCTCATCCATATGTGTTAATGCTGTGATGCACAAATCACATACAGTATAAGTGTCTGTAAACTGAAGGCTTCACAGACAAATGGAGGCAGAAGTGTCGTGCTGCAAAGAGAGAGCATTATTTGCATAGTATTTGATACAGTGTAGCCTCGTTCAGCACACGGCCTGTGGTGCAGTGGTTCTCAAATGATGGGAATCACAGTAAAACATTTATTTCTAATTGTAAAAATAAATTCATATTATTAACTGGTGAGCTGGTCAGTGTGGTCAAAAATAAGTAAAATGCACAATCCACTGTAAATCAATTCCAATTCCCTCCTTTGGATTTGTCATATAAAACAGGTATTACACATGCCTGCTGTTATTTGTTCTGCTGATTCAGCTATATACAGAACCAAGTTTTTTGTACTATTTTTTTCTTTCTTTCTTCCCTTCTTTGCTTGTCTCTCTGGAGTTGACTTCTTGTTTAAAGTGAATCACTGTTATCTTTTCTGGGAATGAAAAGCTGCCGTCTGTTAACTTCAGGTGATTCATTCTTTCATACCTAGTAATTTACTGAATTAGCGACTACTACTAGTACTTGCTCATGTCTTTAAATGGTCTTACTGCTATAATGGTAATTTGAGTAGATTACACACATTGAGTAGTTTGATGTTAAGCCAAGCCATCTTTAAGTGCAGATTATTGACTGTACTGATATGTTCTTTTTTTATTGAGTCTACTGTCTAACATTAGGGTGAAGAAAGTGTTCCATTTAGTTTAAATAGCAGAATCCATTACGTTAGACACAAATACCTGGGAAAAACCAGAGAACAAAAGTCTCAGTCACTGCCAATTTGTCCTACGGCATAACACTTGATATGTGTCTGGTGGCCGTGCTGCCAGTGTGTGAACGGGAATGGAAATGTGTGGTGATATACCTGGTGCATATAGATGGGCTGAACTTAAGTGCATGAGTAAGTGGAGCAAATGAAATTTGAGAGTGTTCCTTCAGAGTAAAGAGTACTTTTTAAGTATAAAGCAATTAATAAATGAGAATAAAAACAAACAATCCTTCAGCCTTACAATTACTGTTTCAAACCCAGCAATAACCTTACTATAAACACACGCACATACCAACAAATGATACACACACACTGCGGTGCCCATAATGTGATAAACATATTGTGCAGAAAGAAACATTTAGAATGTTTCAAGTTGACTGTGCATGTGTGTGTGTGAGTGGGAATGTCTCAATCACAGAGCTAAGATCGGGTTCAATTATACATGCAATAACTTTGCGGTCTCAGCAGGCCAAGAAGCCATTTATATGCTAATATATATGACAACAGTAATGAGTTGCAATAAAAAGGCATCTGCAGCTTGATCAAATCTGATATCACAGCATTACCACAATCACTCTTTGCTATTCACTCTTTTACTTGTTAGTCCGGGAGCTCCTCGTGGGAAAGCGTTTTCGGCGTCTAATACTCCTGATGTAATAACGCTTCTGCCGGCCATTGAAGTCTGTTAGCGTTAGGTAATGGTGTTGTGTACGAGTCAGCGATGTGCTGTTAGGGGAGAATGAAAATAGAGACATAATGAAAGTCAGTCAAAGCTCAAGTCGACAGACTCAAACCTTTGTTCACAGCTGTAGAAAATCCTGCTCCAAGACGTTGACTTTACACACGAGACAACAGTGATTACACCAGTTAGGCGTCGACATCTCAGTCTCATTTGCAGAAATGATAAGACGTTACATTATCGCTTTATTGATTTTTTTTAGAAAATATAGAATTGTTTCTTATGCTCTATTGTGTTATCACAGTTAATTCTGCAGCTGTCCTCACCTTCAAATAGACTGGCTATTTCCATTGAACAAAATAAATAAAATATACAATGTCCTCAATTTCCCCATTCCCCATTTACCCATCTCCAGTGACAGCCCCAAAGCCCTGGGTGGGACCTGCCCCTCATTTTAGGACCCACTTTCTTAAGGTGAAGCCATGAGGCAAGAAGTGCCTCAGTCCTGGGGCAAAAACAGACTTCTTTTGTCTTATGAGCAGCACCAAAGATGACATTATCAACCAATAAATGCAGTAATGAGTCTTTACTGTAATGAGTTTTTACTGTTAGAGCCGGCTTCGAATGCTTTAAATTCTTTCTGTACGGTATGTTAGTTTGAGGAATGACACCAACTTGGCACACAGTCCTGTTACAGTGATGGGTCTCTGCCACTGGATGGTTCCAGATTCATGGCAACTGACAAAGTACAGCAAATAGATTGATTGATTCACTGCTGTTCTATCTGAAAGTGTTGCGCTTCATCTTGGGCCGTAGTCTGCCTTTGACATGAGATGGAACTGTCAGACACTTCATCACACCTGCCCCAGGAAGTCATGATGAGTCCTGCCAAGAAGCAAGAATGGAACATTTCTCATCTCTGCTCTTCGGTCTCGTCTCCTCACACCAAGGTTGGTACGGGCAGGTGTGACTCAGCCACCTGTCTGAGCCACAGAGCGAATATCTCATCTAAAAACTGCACAAAGACGCGGCTGCTTCTGCAGGCTGTACCATCACGACAGAGCCCACGCAGACCTGCTCTGCTACCACAGGTGCGTTTTCTGAACTGAAAAAGGTCTGAAAGTTTGATATCATACTATAAAAAAATATTCTGGTTATGAATAACAATATACTGGAATTGTAGTATACAGAGAAACTTTTTAATTAATCACGTTGTACTGCCAGAGAAATATTAGGCTATGACTTACACATATTTAGTGTATATGAAGCCACTTGCGGTGACAGGGAGATTTTCTGGCACAATGTGATGCTGCTTCAAGTTAGAAGAAGAGGAAGATTTTTTGATTTTTAAAATAATATTTTATTAAGAAGAAGAAGGCAGTGGTCAGGGTCAGTGTTTCTCAGCCTTGTTTGGGCAATATAATGAAACATAATGACCTTGATTCTAGATTTTCTCACCAGTTACTTCAGTGTGAAAACTGTGCCTGTTTTGTTGAAAACAATTCTGAACTACTAGCAAGAAGTGAAGAAAGTCACTGACAGATCCATCTCATTCTTCAAACTTAATTTATATTAATGTTAATTGAATTTAACATTGATATCAAAGGGGGAAAAAACAACCAACTTGATCAGCTGGGCTTTGTCGTACAGCAGCCATGCATGGTCGCTCATTTGAACTATAATTCATAGACATGATGCTTGTGTGTGAAATATTGTCAGACGTGTGAGCAGAAGGAGCAGGACGTTGTACCCTGTCAGATTCCAGTGAGTGACGCCTGCTGTGTGCAGCCTCTACTTCAAGGGCCTGAAAAAGATCAATGAGGACGAATAGCTGCTTGACTGGCCTACAAATTGAACCACCTTTAATCACCTCACACAATTCACAGCAGTATGAAAGTTCACGCCATGAAAGGGGGTTTAATCAGTGGCCGACCTGAATGGAGCTCGTAACAAAGGACACATGGGACCTGGGGGTGGAGGGGGGGGCACATGCACACACACGCTTTCATTTACTAATGGAGATACTGTACTGCTGATGGAAACACTAACCTATGTATGTGGCCATCCATCGGCACAGCAGAGTTAAAACAACCCTATTAGTGCAGCTGAATACTGACAGTAGCCTTCAGTTTATAAATCTCTGAGTCACTCCTGACAATGTTACCCAGAGTCCTTAGTGGAGAGAGAGCTTGTTATCACACAGTGTAGCTCACAGGTAAAAGGCAATCACCATTTGTCAGACAATTCAAGAGTTTCACTGACAAATGATAATTACCTGACTCAACAGTCAATGGCCACCGGCTCCTCACAGAACGGATACCAAGACCTGTCAGTGTTCTCAATAGGCGTAAATGTGAGGGTCATTTGGTCGATGGCAAAATAAATGTACCGTATACACTTGACATACGACCCTATACAATAGGACTAAAGTGTTACCATGTAAGGTAGATACCGTGTTGTTATTTTATTTATGGCAAACTGCACCTACACTGCACCGTAAAAGCAGCCTCACCTACAGAGAACAATCACCGTAACAAGGAGAAAAAGCCCTAAAGGCAGCAGAAGGTTAATGAAGTAGGTGCGTGGCTGGAACCCTCATTAGTGGAAACCTTTCATGATGTTTCCCTGGAAGCTCATCCACTGCAGCTGACCCATGTGCCGCTGAGAATGTGACCTTGGCGTGATGGTAAAGGGGTAATAAATCCAGTGGCCGCAGGGACGCTGTGAGTCGTTTGTGTGGATTGTCAGGTCAACGAGGAGGTGAACCAAGAATCTAAATTACACCTGTCTGTCACTTTCTCTGTCCCACTATAAAACACACTAAGATAACGTTGCTCCAGTGGCTCGCAGAGGCAGGAAACGCACTGTACGGAACATTAAACACAACTCAGCTGCCATATGTCACGTCCCCGCTCCGCCATTTGACCCGTCCAGGTCCACTCAGTGGTTGACGAGCAGAATCAAAAGATCATTTTAAAAATATAAGCTAGATCACAAAAAAAGCACGTTAAGGACAGCATGCAGTTTCACAATGATAAACACTGTGGTCTCTGAGCAGATATTGGTCTGTGATGAAATCTTGCTCTTCCGCGCAGAGAAGTGACAAGGAGAAACAAACAGCTCTCTATATATGACTGCTATTAACCTCTGCCTCACACTGCTTAAAGGGAGTGCCAGCCTGTTAAAGTTATTGGTAATAAAAGTCTAATTTAATCTGTGTCTGAAACATGAAGGGTTATAAAGGACCACGACTTGGACAGGTGGCAGGCGGTATGTAGAGCCATAGCCGGTTTAGATAGGTGTGATATGCTCTTAACAGTACACAGATCCGTCAGCGGTGACTGAGGAGATGTCCGAGGACTGAGGTGCTTCGGTGAAGGTCAGAATAATGTTAGTGCGGGTTCGTTCCTACTTCCAGATCAATGCACCCATCTACAGCCTCACATCTGAAATCACAGCTGCTCACCGAGAGAGGAGGTGAGACGGATAGATGTCATATAAACAGAGCTCTAACGCCACCTAGAGCAGCATTCGTTATGTGTTTGACTACACTGTGGAACTGCAGATATTTTAACAAGGTCCACAGGTCCGCTGACCTGATAGTTAAACCTGGGAAACCCGATTTTTAGTGTGTCTTGTGAATGTAAATGTAAATTTTACCTTATTTATTTCAATTTGAATTAAATTACTAATTTACTCATATTCATACAATACTGCGCCTTTCTCTTCCTAATATAAAATGTTGTACTTATATATTTATATAATTTTAGTTTACTCAGTAAAAAATAAATCTTAATGTTAATGTGTTAACAGTTTTACTGGCCAAGTATGAGTAAACATATGCGTTCCCCCTCCCTTCTGTCTTAGGCATGAATAAACTAAGAAAATGTATATCTAAAAAAAATGTTCACGTTTTTATTTGCTTTCTTTGGAGACCCAGGAAAAGCAAACTGCAAATTAAGACAGTATGAAAACTACGAGTCAAAGTTGTTCCCACTCGTCTGCGGCACATAGAGTAGTAAAACCAAACACACCCAGCGATAGAGTCACATGGTCGATCATGAGGAAGTAAACAGGGAAGAGACGAAGGTAAGTTTATTCTGCTTGTATTATGTTTTAATTGGTATTTACTATTTGTTTATGCTATGATCGCAACAACAAAATAAACCTTACAGCCGCATGTTTTATCATCTGAAGTATGACATTAATGGGTGAAAACGTGCAGGCTTGATGCCGATTTTAGCCTCTATGTATGAGCCCATGCTAACAGCTAGTGTACAACTGTATTATACACTCAAATTACGAGAATAATATTTCAAGGTCACATCATGGGAGCGCTGTGATAAATTATCGGCTCAATTATTGAATAATGTTTTCTATTGTGAGTAACTGTCACAGTCGAATAACATTACCTGAGAGACAGAGGTGTTTGAAATCTAATGTCGTATAGACTGAGGAATGACAGCAACATCTAAAGATAAAAATAAAAATACCTAAATTATGTATATTTAAGATTAGTAGACATAGGAGGGGCTGCAACAATTTGACTAAACAAGTCAGTAGTTATTATCCAAGTCTCACAGTCTGTTTGACTTGCCTAAAATGTAAATGGTTGTGATTTCAGTTTGTCATTTCAGATGTGAAATTCTTTACTGTTGTTTCAGTTGTAAACTTTTACATAGTGAGGTAGCAATCATTGTTGTTTAATACAGTGTATTACTGCATCACTCATATTATCTGCATTATTTGTCCAAATACTGAGGTATCTGGGCCTGTCTTATCTTAAAAAACAAAAACAAAAATCAGTTTCTTTTAATTTAATTCTATGAAGATATCCTTTTATTTGTGTCAGGAGCAAGAGTGAATATCTGCTCCATTATGGAGGTGTACCACCAGGTCCTATTGATGCAAAGACTTTCTTTAGATTAAGTAAGACATATGCTCCATCGCTTGACTGAGCTGCTTGCCAGTACAGATTTGTTTCTTATCGAATGTGTGGAGGAAAACCAGACAACAGTAAACACAGACTATTTAGCCACTCAAGATATCTATGGAGCAAGAATATGCAAAATTTTTGGATAAATAAGTATATATATATATATAAATGATCTCAATTAAAAAGTAGCTCAATTGATTTTGTTTCAACTTGCAGGAATAATTTCTTCATTTGCTTATCCATGAATACACCCTCTGTCTGATGACTATATCACTGCCTGAGAAAGAAACTGTTGCGCATCAGCCTGATTATCTGCCTCTTCTTTCAACTGCCAGAGGCATAAACAAGCTAAAGGTCATTGATTAATTAAAGTCCCTGTTCTCTCTATCTGTCCCCCTTCCCTCTGTTCTTGGTCAGCTGTGACATCTACTGGAAAAGGACCACAGAACTTTGGAAAGTGCAGCTGCTTTTTTTTACCTTCTGTCCTTCAGCCATAATGGTGGACTTTTTGGCAGAAAACAACCTGTGCGGCCAGGCCATCCTCCGGATCGTGTCCAGGGGAAATGCCATCATTGCTGAACTCTTGCGACTTTCTGACTTCATCCCTGCAGTTTTCAGGCTGAAGGATAAAAGTGACCAGCAGAAATATGGAGACATCATCTGTGACTTCAGCTACTTTAAAGTACAGTGTGAATTAATCTGGACATTAACATGTTTTAGCTGCTGACCTAATGTGTAAAAAAGAAATACTTTCCCCAGAATTTCAAAAATGTAGTTTTTGTACAACTTTATAGCAGAAACAGTTCCCTTTAAAAGTTGTTCTACTAGTACTCCCGTTATGGGCAGCTTGGTATAAATCCTCTTTAACACCTTTGTCTTCAGGGTCCAGAGTATTATGAAGGGAAGCTGGAGAACAAACCTGAGCTTCAAGACCTGGATGAAGAGTTTAGAGAGAACCACATTGAGATTCTGTCCAGGTTCTATCTGGCTTTTGAGAGTGTCCACAAATATATAGTGGATCTTAACAGGTGAGACAGGACTGGGAAATGGAACTGATGCAGTTACTAGTTGTCTAACGGACTTGTATGATATCTGTCAAGGGATTTACTTTTTTTTAACATGATTAATCGCACGGTGGCTGTGAATAAATCCAATCAATATTAATCATGGTCAGTCGAGATAAATCAACATTCCTATGTATAAATAATATCTGTATATTGTTGGAACAGAATGTCTGTGTTTCACACCTTGTTTTATTTGAAACTAATGTAGTTCTTATTCTTCGATGCATTAAAATGAATACGTTTTTTTTGTAAATCTAATCAATTTTTAAATTTAATTAACATGTTTATTTATTTGTCAGAGGATGTAATCATTCACATCTTTTCTCCAGATATTTGGATGACCTGTATGAAGGGGTTTATATTCAGCAGACGTTGGAGACGGTGCTGCTAAATGAAGACGGAAAACAACTTCTAGTAAGTAACACAGATGTAAATCATCTTCACCTTTTTAGGAGTGAACAAATATATTGCAGGTAATGAGTAGGTGATAAAAAATGTTTTTGTGGTCTTTTTTCACAGTGTGAATCTCTCTACCTCTATGGAGTCATGTTGCTGGTTATTGACCAAAAAATCGAAGGGGAGGTCAGAGAGAGGATGCTTGTGTCTTACTACAGATACAGGTTTGTTAAGGATTTCCAGCTAAATAAAGAAAGAAATATTCTTGTGGGACATTATAATATATCAAATATCTTACATTGAAAACCCATTCAAGTCCAATATTTTGTTGTTATATCTTCAGTGCGGCTCGTTCTTCAGCCGACTCCAACCTCGACGACATCTGCAAACTCCTCCGTAGCACTGGTTACTCAAGCCAACCTGGAGCCAAACGACCGGCCAACTACCCCGACAGCTACTTTGCAAGAGTTCCCATCAGTGCTCCCTTTATTAGCATGGTCATTGGGAGACTGCGTTCTGATGACATCTACAACCAAGTAAAAAAAAAACCTTTGGCTAAGCATGGTTTTCTAAGTACTTTGATCCAGAACCTAAAATAACTTTTTGTGGTTCAGGTTACTGCATATCCTCTGCCTGAACATCGCAGCACAGCACTGGCCAACCAGGCGGCCATGTTGTATGTCAGCCTTTACTTCAGCCCTTCCATTCTGCACACACAACATGCCAAGATGAGAGAAATAGTGGACAAGTACTTCCCTGACAACTGGGTGGGACACCTTAGCAACAAGATTTAGCACCGACAGTTTCTTTTTTCCATTAAAAAGTTTGCACTAAAACAGACACTGCTGTCTGCCTGCAGGTGATCAGTATCTATATGGGCATCACAGTGAACCTGGTGGAGGCCTGGGAACCATACAAAGCTGCTAAGGCTGCTCTGCACTACACACTGGACTCTCCTAACATCAAAGAGCAGGTATTGAACTAAATGCAGGTGCAAAGGATCTGATGAATGGATCTACTGTGGTTCTCAAGTGCACTTGTGTAAATATTAATGTCAGAAATAATTTCTTAGAAACTAGTTTTTTGGAAAGTTGAACGTTTGTGTGGAAAAGAAAACTAAGGTTGTGATGAAAAAAAAATGTGGTGTTAAATTTTTTAGATTTCTTTAGTTGACTAAATTTAAATAACATTTAACCAACTAAAATGCATCGTGTAGTATTCATATGTATATATATATATATATATATATATATATATATACATATATATATAACATATATATCATATTAATAGAATTTTATTTTTATGAGCTGACAATAAGTGTCAATCATTTTTTACATCATTATTTAGCTTCACACAACCTCCTGTTTAGTTTGTCTTAAGTTCTAGTCTTAGAAAAGAAGGTCGGTGTCTAAGTCTTTGAAAATGAACACAATAAACACTTAACTCTAACTCTAACCCTTTGAGGCCTCGAGGTACGCAGCGAGCCTGGAGTCCTTGAAGCCACAGGTGCAGCAGCTGCTGAAGGAAGGCTTCCTGAGGGAGGAGATCATCCTGGACAACATCCCCAAACTTCTCAACTGTCTGAGGGACTGCAATGTTGCTATTCGCTGGCTCATGCTGCACTCTGCTGAATCAGGTCTGAATACTACTGAATACTTAAATTACTTGCATATTAGCCACACTGACAAAAAAGAGCTACTAACAACCCCTCCCTGCAGCCTACGACATAAACAACAAGCGACTGCGTCAAATCAAAGATCAAGTTCTGAACGACTCCAAGTACAACCCCAAGATCCTGTTCCAGCTCCTGCTTGATACTGCACAGTTCGAGTTCACGCTGAAAGAGGTGAGAGCTCTTTTGGATATAAAGTGTCAAGTGAGCAGTAAATGTGTGGACCCTCATTCAGAATAATTCCTAAATTGAAGATTGCCGCGTCTTAATAGCAAACAGCCAGGCAGCATATGGCCTGACACTCTGTCTCTGGGAGAGGAAACACATTTAATGTTGCCATTACAGCTCTCATCTGACTAATCCTTCCTAGTCAATTTTAGCATCTGTGTTGTCCCTCCTGCAGATGTTCAAGCAGATGCTGTCGGAGAAGCAGCTTAAGTGGGAGAGCTACAAAAAGGAGGGATCGGAGAGAATGACTGAGCTGGCTGAAGTCTTCTCCGGTGTCAAACCTCTCACCAGAGTGGAGAAAAACGGTAAGACGTTGGAAAAAATCACCTAAATAAATAGAAAAGCTGTGTAAATACATGAAGGTGGTTTAGGTTCACTTGAGTTCACTCCAGAGTTTCACTCCAGAGTTTCACTCCACACCTGTTTTACTGCCTACAGAGAACTTACAGGCCTGGTTCAGAGAAATCTCAAAGCAGATCGAGTCTCTGAACTACGATGATTCTACAGCTGCTGGGAGGAAGACAGTTCAGCTCATACAGGCTCTGGTTGAGGTGAGCTGATCCAGATATATTGTTTGTATATGTGACCCTGCAGTATTGCAGTTATGTGTCACAGTTTGTGTTTCAAGCAAAATGTGGGGAAATAATATGGAAAATCCACAGTTTGGTATGCACCTCTGTATTTGATGAACAACTGTTCACTTTCATTTGATGTACGAGGCGCGAATGGTGGAACATGTTGATGTGATGATGATGTGATTCATATGAATTAAAACAAAACTGAATTCTCTTTCGAAACTTCTTCTTTCTGCATAGAGAACTATTATTTAAATTTCCTGCCACAGTAACTCTAAATTACAAGCAAAGCAAATATTTTCCGGAGAACTGACAGAGCTCCTGATTTTCTTAACTGTCTGGGCACAAGTTTCTGAGCAGGCTAAGAAGTCTTTGAAGGAACATCAAAAAGACTAAGAAATTGCACATAACTCAGATGTTTATTTTCAGCTTGGATGGTTATGGTTATGTAAAAGTTTTTTTTCTCTGTGTACCCCAGGTCCAGGAGTTCCATCAGCTGGAGTCCAATCTGCAGATTTGTCAGTTCCTGGCTGACACCAGAAAGTTCCTGCACCAAATGATCCGCACCATCAATATCAAAGAAGAAGTTCTCATTACCATGCAGATAGTGGGGGATTTGTCTTACGCATGGCAGATCATTGACAGGTACTCACTGACTTATTCACATTAAATCCATCATAATAAACTTGAGGAAGATTGAATATTATTAAGAACGTGATTGAATTAAAGGTCAGTAAGTTGACCCCGGACGACCCTGTCATACCTCATGTATTTATGGTTTTCAACTATTCACTTCCTTTCATTTATTTCTTTTCAGATTTTTGATTTGTTTTTTGTGTTTTGTTCTGCAGCTTCACAACCATCATGCAGGAGAGCATCAGAGTGAACCCGTCCATGGTCACAAAACTGAGAGCTACATTTCTCAAGGTCAGAACTGTGTGTCCACAGATACAGCACACACAGATTTAATGTGGAAACATTACAATGTTTACAATGTTTCACTTTAGAACAGACATTTTCAATGATTTACTTTGTTTCAATTTTGGCTATGTGAATTGATTTTTTTTGTGTCTTATTTTTGTTAACAGCTTGTATCTGCACTGGACCTGCCTTTGCTCCGTATCAACCAGGCCAACAGTGATGACCTGATGAGTGTTTCGCAGTTTTATTCTGGAGAATTAGTGGCTTATGTCAGGAAGGTACGTCACCTTGTTGACACCTTTAAGCAGTTGCCCAGGAAGCGTCTGTTCTTTTCTATTCCCACCACCGAAGTACTTGTTGGTCATGAAAATTGTTGCGTGATTTAAATATAACTTGCTCTGCAAGTGACTGAAGATTGCAATAACAGATGCAGACAGTATTAATGATCTTACAACCATCTGCTCATTAAATGTAACCAAAATTAAAGCTGCTGTTCTTTCTTCTGTTGTGTCATCCAACACATGTTGAGCTTCTTGTGTCACTGCTGCCATACAGAGATGAATCTGATTTTCTTTCTTCTTTTGTTGAGACTTGTCTCTTAGAATATCATTAAAAAATGTGTCTTTCTTTATAGGTGCTTCAGATCATCCCAGAAAGTATGTTCACTTCTCTGGCCAAGATCATCAAGCTTCAGATCCACGACATCATGGAAGTGCCCACACGTCTGGACAAGGACAAGCTGAAGGATTACTCCCAGCTCGGAGCTCGCTACGAAGTAAAACCACCAACATTATCTTTCAGTAGTTTAGCTTCAGTCAGATTTATTTATATTTTACTCTTTAACCTGAGGAGTGCAATAATTAATTTTCCAAACATATTGATTTGATCACAGGTGGCAAAACTCACTCACGACATCTCCATTTTCACCGAGGGAATCCTGATGATGAAGACCACTCTTGTGGGAATCATCAAGGTAGATGTTTTAACATTTGTTACTTTTACTAATAATAATATTAATAAGATCAACAGTGAATCTGTCAAAATGTACATGTTAATTGCTATAATTTGTCAAATGAATCAGATTAAAATTTTAATGCATTTGCAAAATGATGTGCTCTGTTTATCCAGTAATTCCACCATCTGTCCTAATACACAGAAAATCCATATATAGCACATATGTCTTCCTGCTGTTACTTGTCTTATGTAAAGTTATTTATATTATACAGGAAGACATTTTTTGTCATATTTGGAAATACAGAGTGATAAAATCCAGAGGATTGAAAGTGAAATGACGACTCCCTTCAGTCTGGTTCATGACAGGCAGTGATGTGGTGACACAAACAGAGGCCGTCGTCTAATAAATGGCTACACTCTGCCGGCCTTAGTCTGACCACTGGTCTCTCTCGTGGAGTCTGTGGCCTTTACTGACCGTCAGGACTCTGCAGGTCACCGCTAAATGTGGACGTGGGCAGGGCATTCTCTGAGGTCCAGCTTTGACTGGACAGGATGCAGTACATACAGTTTTCGTAATTAAAGATTTGGTATCGAGCAACAAAACTTCTCTGAGAGAACCTTCAGAGATCTGACATGAATACGTTTCTGACAAAGTTCTTTAAACAGTTGTTTTTTATGGATTTAAAGGTTTTGCATTTTTATCATGAATAATCTTGATAAATCCACAGCTACCTTCTTATAAATCCAATTACACAATGTAATCATTTGACAGCTCCTATCAGTAGAGCTGTTTCTTTTGTTTGTCACTATTTACTTAAAAACACTTCATCTCTGTAGGTTGATCCTAAACAGCTTTTGGAGGACGGCATCAGGAAGGAGCTGGTGAAGAGAGTTGCCTATGCTCTGCACAAAGGGTTGATATTCAATCCCAGGTCAAAGGTCAGACACTTTACAATGCATTGTTTATCAGGAAGGGAAAACAATAACAGTGAAGAGTCAATGGAGGGACTTAAAAATGTATACTGTTTATACATTGACTTTCAGTCCAGTGAGTTGATGCCCAAGCTGAAGGACATGGCAGCCACCATGGACGGTTTCTACAGGTCGTTTGAATACATCCAGGACTACGTCAGCATTTACGGCCTTAAAATTTGGCAGGAGGAAGTGTCTCGCATCATTAATTACCATGTTTAGCAGGGATGCAACAATTTCCTGAGGACCAAGGTCAGCCATTAAAACAACATGATAGAAACAGCTGCTGAACACAAGCTTGGTGTTACAGTTTATCACAGTGTAACAAGCATTTAGTGAAGTGACGTTGATTCGTCTGTTTTGTTTTGTTTTTTTCAAATCAGATCCAGGACTGGCAGAGTGTGTACCAGTCCACCTACATCCCCATCCCCACGTTCCCCCCAGTGGATGAGAGCGCCACCTTCATCGGTCGTCTCTGCAGAGAGATCCTCAAAATTACAGATCCAAAGTTAGTTTTCTCAAATGTTGAAATTGTATGTGTCTACAAACAGTTGTCTGTCTATATATACTATATACGCACACGTGTCCATCCCACAGGGTAACGTGCTACATTGACCAAATGAACACCTGGTATGACTTAAAGAACCACCAGGAAGTGACCAGCAACCGGCTCTTCTCTGAGATCCAGAACACTCTGGGCACTTTTGGCCTGAATGGACTGGACCGTCTGCTCTGCTTCATGATTGTCAGGGAACTGCAGGTAATTAGCTAGGCCTCAGGCTGGGTGACAGTGTAAACACTTTGTTTTTAAAGGAATCTTTTGTGTTGTGTCTCTGCTAGAAAATATAATTATCTCTATTATTGTGATTTCCCTCTCTAAGAACGCTCTGACAATGCTTCAGAAGACCATACTGAAGGACAGAGCAGTGGTTGACATCTTTAAAGCAATGCTGGGTGCTGTCACCCCAGTTCAGGGCATTGTTGGTGAGAACTAATTTAAAAAAAAACATCAAATGACAAGACAGAAACAGTTTACTTTTAAAGAAATGTCATCATTATTTTTCTTTTGCAAAACAGCTAATGCCAGCAAAGTGTACGCCAGTGCTGTGGCCAAAACACAGAAGACCTGGGGTCCTTACCTGGAGGCCATCATGAAGGTAGTCCATTTTGTGGCCACAAAATGCTGTCATGCTAATGAGCAAAGAAAAACAAAAACACTCATAGGGACACAATTGAGATAATGTGCCTTGAAAATGGTGTTTGTTAAAGGTTGGTCAGATGCAGATTCTCAGACAGCAGATCGCTAATGAGCTGAGCTACTCCTGCAAGTTTGACTCCAAACACCTGGCTGCTGCCCTGGAAAACCTCAATAAGTAAGAGTTTCTTAGTCTGCATGTGAAATGTACAGAGTACATAATGTTTGATGTTGGTATTACACATATGACTCAGCAATAATTCATTTGTTGATCACATACTTATTTTTGACGTTACCATAATTTTCTTTAAATGTCTCCTTGTTATTTTGACATGGCCAGGTCCCTGCTGGCAGACATTGAAGCTCACTACCAGGATCCATCTTTGCCTTATCCCAAAGATGACAGCACTCTCCTGTATGACATCACTGCCTACCTGGAAGCTGCTGGTATTCACAATCCACTCAACAAGGTCTGCACTGTGCTCCCTCTTACACTGTTTACATTGCACCTCAATCTTTGTCACTTAAATACTAATGTCAATCTGCTTGTGAGAGGACACCTGAGGGCCACAGTTTTAAGCAATCTCAGCATCCAGTCTGGTTTCTCTGTTGAGTGGTTTTCCTACCAAATATGTTCTAAACATTTTCCGCTTAATTTCTACTTTAGATCTACATCACCACGAAGCGTCTTCCTTACTTTCCCATCACCAACTTCCTGTTCATTATTGCTCAGCTGACTAAACTTCAGTTCAACAAAAACCAAGGCACGTTTTATTTTTCTTCTAGATTTTTCCACATAAACTACAACAATACATTGTCTTGTATTTTCATAATCATTTTAATGTTTCACTCAGGAATGACATGTAAAAAAGCCACAGATCCAGTTGACTGGCCTCCACTGGTACTTGGCCTGCTTACCCTCCTGAAGCAGTTCCACTCCAGATACACTCAACAGTTCTTAGCTCTCATTGGTCAGTTCGTCCGCTCCATAATGGAGCAGTGTACAAGGTTTGTCACATTGGGGGAAAAAAATGCTTTTTTAAAAATTAACATCTACACTTAGATAATTCCTTCTCCGGTTGTTTTTTATATATAAAATGCAATGATCTCATTGGTAAAATGCTCTTTTAAATACAGCCAGAAGATCCCTGACATGCCCTCAGATGTGGTGGGAGCGCTGATGTTCCTTGAAGACTATGTGAAGTATACCAAACTGTCACGCAAGGTAAAGCAGAATTTACAATAGTGGAGGGTTAGCTTAATGATGTAAAATGTTAGAAGCCTGAGTTTCTTGTTCTAATACCATATACTCTACCCTATGTTGTCCATATAAGTGTGATATCTTTCTTAGTTAAAAAATCAGTGTTTTTATTTTATGTACTATAAGATAAGATATCGGTGTGAACTAAAGTGTATTTCCCCTTGTGTTTTAGGTGGCTGAAGCCCATGTACCAAGTTTCATCTTTGATGAGTTCAGAACAGTACTGTGAAGATCTGGACAAAGTTCTTCACCAGAATAAAGCTGCCTTAGGCTAATTTCAAAACAGATAGTTTGACAAACCAGTGTTACTAAAATAAAAAAAAAAAATTTTATTGAGTTTTTACTCTTAGACAATAGCTGCCTGTCATGGCTGAACCAGGTTAAACATGTCCTGTGTACAATGTCAAACCCTTCTGAGAGAATAGCCAAGAGTTTACTCACATTTCATTGTTTAGACCGGAAATGTCTTAATGCACTAAGAGACTGTAAATACATTGTGTTTCATAAAATTAACCTTCCATATTTTGAATTTCCACTTTGTGCCATTGCTTGTTACAGAACTTTAATAAATACTATAATTCATAAACGTCTCGTTACTGTTTTCGTTTTCTTTTGTATGGGTTTTCTGCAACTATTGAATTAAAAAGACAAACCGGAAGCCGGAAGTTGACGTTTTTGTAGTCCAAAAAATTTCCCATCCGCGGACGATGTGCGTGTTTATGACGTGCTTTCTTTTTACATTTACATTGTTATACCGCCACTGGAGAATGATCTCAGTAAAGGATTAAATTACTTATAAATGCAGTAATACATTTGTAGGTACAATTGGCAATGCGGAATTAACTGGTACTAGCAGGCTAGCTAGGCTAAGGAACGCTCCTTTATTTTACTTTGTACTTATAGTTTCTGTTGTGTGACAAGTCAACCATTATGTCTTTGAGCGCTGTTTGCGGGACCGTGTCGAGTCTGAAAACCTGTCAAGCAGACATCGGTACAGGAATGGACATAGTCACTGATGTGGCGATGGACCTGGTGGAAGCTCAAGGTACGATTTCCCTTAACAGCTCCCTAGTATCCCTAGTTTTAAGCAGCATGTTCTATCACAGTGCATTGGTTATCTCTGGGTTCTCCCGTTTCCAGTTAGGGTCCAAGAAACATGCACTGTAGCATTAGATTTATAGAAGATTCTAAAATGTGTAGTCTGACGATTAGTTTTTATCCATACTTATGGGTGTTTTAGACATTTAGTTATTTTATAAAATAATTAACGAATCAAACAAATGTAAAAGTAACTTAGTAGAAACTGCAATTGACTTCATCTTTTCCTCAGCAACCCTAGCAAAGAATAATAATTTAAAAAATCAACTGAATGAATGAATGAATGATTAGGAATTCCTGACCTAGATGTTTATCTTTAATTCCAGGTAAAGAAATGATCAGTGGGCTCCAAGAAATGGAAGACATGATTCTGGAGTGTGCCAGGCTGGACAGGGAGATTGACTGCTTTATTGAAGTTGTGCAACAAGTCACAGACGAGGTGGGTAATGATCTGGCATGAAGCTGTCACAGGGGAACATAAAACTAAAAAATGTATTTCTCTTGTCAGGTTATAACAGTACTGCATGACATTGAGTTAAAGCTACTGTTTTTTTAAAATGTATTCTACACTATTTGTTCCAGTATAGTAGTGCAAACTTTCAGATTATTCTGACTCCGTCTTTGACTTTTATATTCAATGAAAGAGCACTGATAATGGCCGTTACTATAAAGGTCATGTAACATAACTGAACATATTTATATTCTCCAGGCGGGCTCAGAGCAACCAGAGGCAATGTTTGGCCTGTCTGCCAAAGTGAAGGAGAAATTCACAGAGAGAACAGCCAGACTCTCTGATGCGACTCTGCACCAGCACCAGAAAGTAGTAGTCTTCAAGGACAGCATAAAGAACAGCCTCAGTGCAGGTGAGTCGCCAGGCCCAGAAAAAAAACACTGTATATTTCATTAAAACCCTCCATGTTACTGTAGGACGTACGATTCCTGCATCTGATATCACATAGAAGGGAAGTCAAGCTGTAAAAACAATTGTTTCCCTTATTTGAATGTTTTATGGAAAAATCTGGCCCTAGATTATCGCTACATAAACCCCCATCCGCTTTTGGAGTTATCTACCACAAAACATCTTTTAACAGGTAAAAAAAAGAGGATCTCACAATGTAGCTTTTAATAAATATGATATATATTATAACAATTTGAACTGATTTCACTTAGTACATTATACACAGGAAAGTACCTAAACCAGACACTGTTTGCAACATTGTAGCAGAATCAAAATTCCAACTTCCAATTTTTCCTACCCTTTTTTTTACTATAACTTATAGGTGTATGTTGTAGCTGTATGTGACAGGGATAACTTTGAAGGCAGCATAAAGTTTAATACCCATTGCCCATTATGACCTTTGGAGGTTTTGGTTGGTGAAACTGCACTGCAGCAGCAGCAGTCCTTGTGAACTTTATAGAGATTAAAAAGGCAAGTGCCTTTTTCGATATATAAGTGTGTGTGTGTGTGTCAGTAATTTTAACAGTGTACTGGTCTGAAGGCTATGAATCCTATTATGCATGGTGGACTGGTTATATATGAACCTTCTTTGTGGTTTATTCTTGTGTTCATTACACAGCCAATCCAGAGTCAACAGGAACCACAGAGGAACTGGATGAGGACCTTGTTGTTTCACAGAGTCAAGTCAACTACAACTGCCCTCTCACACAGGTATCATCTGTCATGTGTTACTCCACTTAGTCATATCAAATCTGTTACTACAAAAAGTGAAATGTTTGATTTGGGTCTTTTGTCTTTTATCTGTTTTTGTCCTAAAGCTGGAAATGGAGAACCCAGTGAGGAACAAGAAATGCAACCACCACTATGATGAAAAACCTATTCTGAGTCTAATCAAAACAAAACACAGCCAGAAAAAGAAATGCCGGTAGGACACGCTTCCCTCAGAGCACTGATAGAAAGTTTAGTCAGGTTTTGCAGCCGCCGTCAGCTGCGGGGAAACAACGCCCAGCCTTATTTCAGACTTTCTTCATTATTCTGCCTTGATGTTGAGTTTAATTAAATATAAGTAGTCTAAGAGGAATACTGATGAAGCCCCAGTGAGAATGCTGTGTTGGGAACATTATGTATAGCAAGACAACATTTCTGTTCATAAAAAAGCTCCTGAAGAAAAGGTAAGCAGGCATTACAGCACCTCAGTATATACAGTGAAAATTAGGATGATTAAAAAAAGAAATTATTAATGACTGGGAAACTTCACAGCATGGGTTGGTCCATAAGTTTTAAGAAAGAATATCTCATTCTGAAAGGTGTCTGATATTCAGGCATCAGAAACAGCTTTGAAAAATGTTTTATCTTTATCTCCATTATCTTTAGCTCTGTCAGGTGTTAAGGGATTTTATGCTGCTGTAGCCTAGTTGTTCAAAGCACCTGTCCAGAAAACATCCTGGGTCCTAAGTCCTAACATGGCCTAATGGTTGTCAATTTCTTTTGTCTTACAGTACTTTGTACATAAAAACTTGTTTTAAGTGTGCCTGTCTTTTTTCCTCCCCGTAGCTGTCCTGTGGTGGGCTGTGGAAACTCTGATGTCAAAGAATCTGACCTCATTCCTGACCAGGTGCTGAGGAGAAAGATACAAAACCACAAAAGAAACAGTAACAGGACGTAGAGCTTTTAGCCACAACATTGTTGTTTCCATTTTAACCTTTGTTGAAAAGTGTTTACTAAAATGTTCATATACTGTATGTTTTTGACCTGTTTAAATAAAGGATTGACATTGTATTAGTATATGTGTGCTATACTCAGATTTGTCTTGAGATCAAGGGTGTCTCAAACTCACAATGCAGTTATTAGTCAACACCACAAGAGAGCAGTCTTTGCAATAGGACAGGGAGCGGAGGGGTTGGTGGTCTAACACTGAACCCACATTGCCTGAAATGCTCTGTTAGCATTTTGCTAACAGAAGGTGTAATAGCGAGCAGTCAGTCCACAATCCAATCCACAGGTGTCAAGACACTCTCCACAAGGAGCTAGGTTCCATACTGTATTAATGCAACAAAATGGTACTCCTAATTCACTTAAGCCTTAAATTAGGATATAGATTGAGTTTTAACTGATACATTAATGTTATAATGATAACACATAATGTGGTAAATGTAATCACAGGAGAGCTATTATTTAGTCTTCAAGTCAAACCTTTAAAGTTACAAATACATAACGCTACATTTGACCACATGCTGCAACATCTCGTTTGTCTATTCTACTGGTTCTATGATTAATTAATTACTGCATTTACTGGTACAGTTGAGTACCTCATGAGATGAATTAAAACCTGGGAGTGTTCTATCTATTCTAATTGATCACCACAGCTAAGCAAAATAATACACATTTAAAGAAATTTATGGGTAAAAATAACTTAATTGTTTACTTAATAGCATGGCAACTTCCACTTCACACTATTCTTTAGAATGAAATGCATCTGAGAGATCAAATCTCCGTCGTCCCCTCTTTCTTTCACAAAGCAGCAACCACAGGCTGACACTATGTGAAACTAATCCTTTCAATAAGCTTGCATCAGGCATTTTTAAACAACTCTTAATTGCTCTTCCCCTCTAAAAAGTGTGTCATGCGATGCTAAGAGCATTTCGCCAATGAGGATATTAATTGGCAGCAAATGATCTGGCAAACTCTCATGCATTTGTGTCCCCCACTCTGCACTAGTCCGAACGGCACTGCTGAAAATCTAATTGTGTTTAATGCACAACATGTTAAGTCATGGGCAATTTTACGACAGTGGTAAAATCTGGAAATGGCCGCATTGTATCCAGTGTTTCGCAGTGAAGGCCATTAAACTGTTGTTTTGGAAAGATGCAGAGTCGTAAATAATAAAAACGTAATCATGGTTCGTACAGGAATGCAGTACGGTGGATAAGAGGCAATCGATTCCCAATAGATGTGATTATGTTCGATCTGTAATTTGCACTCATCTCTTCTGAGAACTACAGGTGTAATCGTTTGCTAAGACACAATGGGCCTCAATTTCTGACACACTTCAGCAAAGATGTCCTGGCTGGATGGAGAAATAAGAATTTCAAATGGCTGGAGTAATTTAGTGTTTTTTTCTCCTGCCACCGCTGCCTCCGAATAAGACAGAGTTTAACAGTCTGTCAAGTAAACTCTTGTGGCTATCCACACAACTTCCCCATTTGAACATAGCAATTTCCAGTAGCCATAAAATTGTGCAAATGGGAAATTAGCAAATGACAACCTTAATCTAAGAAACCATTAATACCACAATGGTGACGAAAAAATGTATGATTTAAAAAGAACTAAAAATAATAGCTGGTAAACCGCTTTGGATGGCAAATAATCATGTTAACCAATATAACTAACTAAAAGTCATCAATCAAAATAATGATTAATTCAGCAATAAATGCTTATCCTCAAGATAAAATATTAAAAATTGTCTTTACTAGGCGAAAAGATTGATCAAATGTTAAATATATGTTAAATAGCCAAGGCTATGGCATAGCTAACAAATTCGCTAACAGCTTTCTAACAATAAATAGCTGAGTGAAAATAAAGAAAAAGAGAGCTAACAATTAAATAAAGGACTGCAAAATTAAATTAGCAAAACAAAGCATATAATGAGCATTAAAAAATACACGTTAACCTTAATTTAAAAAGTGTTTAAAATAGACCAAAAACCAAAATGTGGAAACTATGTGGAAATATTTATGTTTGCTACAAAATAAATAAAATGCAAAGTCAGTTGATTAAGTCTAATAATTGTTCCATCTGTTTAAGTGTCACTGAACCAATATTACAATGGAAGAAAACAGAAACAAGGCAGCTAGAAAAGGTGTACTGTCGCTTTAAATGCTAACACCTCCCAGCAGTCATTGGATCCTGGATGAGTTTCACCGCAACCTTCACTGTGGTTCATACTACAGGCTGCACAACACTACACTACACTGCACTACACCACAGAGAAACATCAGAGCGGCGCGCAGAGGGAAGAGGAGTGCAGCTCTCTGCTGATGTGTGATAGATAATAAACTGAAGACAGAGCTGCAGGTGAGTGTATATGCTCTATAATAAGCAGAGGGAAAATCATTTTTAACCTCTAAGAAGGACTAATCTGGGACTGTGAAGGAGTAAACGCAGCGGAAGTCGACATGATAAGTTTCATGGAAACTGAGCCAACAGGTGTGTCAGGTCACACCTGTTGGGAATGTAAACTAGTAGGACGTTGAGAATTACTGGAGTCATATAGCCTTAAGCCAATGTTTGAGTTCCTGTCTTGTGTGGTTCTTCACAGGAGGGCGCAGTCGCTGGATCACACAGCAGCCGTTTGTCAGTGGGACATGGATTACTGGTGCGCGTCTTTGCGCCTTTGGATGAAGTAGTGATACTGAAGTGTGCTTCGCCTCCACGTCAAGATTAAACACGGGGATCTAGTTCCTGTTTCTTTCTGTACCGGCTTCCACGCGTCCCTTCTCCGCCCACCTGTCACCCTCATGGGGAACCAGGTGGAGAAGCTAACGCACTTAAATTACGCGGAGGTGCCAACGTCGGATCCGAACGGCTTCGACCCAAACGATGACACCCCCAGGATCGGCGTCTCTTACATTTTCTCCAACGACGACGACGACGATGACGAGCGCGACGAAAATATCTACAACTACTCGTCAGACAGCCACAATGTGAACCACGAACACAAGCCGTTCGACCCTCGGGACGAGCTGGAGTGTGAGGTTTTCTACCGGGAGGAGTGCGTCTATGAGAGGAGCAACGGAGCCGCGACGCACTCCGCCGAGAGTCTCCTCAACAACTGCCGACCCGGTGACCTGCTGGAGTTTGTATCCACCGGACAATACCCACATTGGGCTGTGTACGTCGGAGACTTTCAGGTGGTTCATTTGCACCGGGCTGAGATCAAATACAACTTTCTGACGGATGTGAGTCAGGGCAGACAGGGCAGGATAGTTAACGGCCTCTACCGGTACCGTGCGCTCCCGCCCGAGGTGATTGTGCGCAACGCTCGGGACTATGTGGGCTCCACGGAGCAGGAACTGTACTGGAGGAACTCCGAGTGCTTTGCCGCCTGGTGCCGCTTTGGCAAACGGGAGTTCAAAATCGGGGGTGAGATTAGGATTGGAAAGCAACCGTACAAATTGAAATTACGCTTTTCAGAGAAGCAGAGCCACGTTTTGGAGTTTCAGAGCCTGGAGGACGTGATCATGGAGAAGAGGAGAAACGATCAGATTGGCAGAGATGCTGTGATGCAAGAGCTGGCCAATCACTTGAACGCAACACATGAAATTAAAGAGCAGCTCTTTGTCGACTGACGTCATCCGGTGAGAATATGAGCCTCAATTAAAAAACCCAAACAGCGCTTTACTCTCAGAAGAGGTTTGTTTGTGAACTGACACTCAGACCTTTGACCATCAGCCTGTGTGCCAGTGCCACACTGTAAACAAATGGCCATCACTGGGGATGAAGGCCAAAGTAAGCGTAGAAAAATCTGAAGTTTCAAGTGCATTGTTGGAGGTCAAATGTGAAAATGTTGATTAATGAAATGATAAATCCTTGTTGCAGGATTATGTAACTTCAAATTGTTCACACATGTACTTTAATCTAACCAGCCTTTGCACAGAGGATCAAATCCCCTCCATTATTCACTTTTACCTGAGAGTGTTAAAAAAAACCTACTCTGGTACAACTCAGGTTTTGGAGACCAATACAAAGAGAACGAGACACAACAATAGCTTTTTCCTAGTGTCTGTAAACCTCTGAAGATTCTGTTCTTACACTTTGTATCTGACTATCACATAGCTTTATCCACTCTCGGACAGTTTTGTGGACATAGTTCATTTCACACTTTTATTGACCCCACCCATCAGCAGTTTATTTTTGAAGGAAAAAAGATGTTTGTATGAAATGAATATGGGAATAAATCTATATTTGAAGAGTAAAGTTTTTTTTTGTTACTAAACAATTGTGAATGACTTTTAATGTGGTTGTTTACAGTCCACAAACTTCACACTAAATCTCAGGCACAACTGAGAAGGTGGTTGTAGTTTTCTGTCATCTATATGATGTGACAGGAGCTTAAGGGTTGACCATTACAAATTCCGTTGAGCCACAGCTCTTTCTGCTCAAGTGGACAGACCCAGAGAGGTGAAGCGTCCTGGCTCTGGCCCCACACCTGCTAACGCTGCCTGTTGTGCTCTGAATATTTACCTCGGAGCCGTAGACCCCTCTCAAAACGTCAACTTTGTTAAAGCTCGTGACAGGTTATGTAGCAGTGAGCTGGACGTTCCAGCCGGTGCTGACTTACTCTGCTGACTTACTTTTGAAAGTCTGGCAGGCTATTCTCCCACATTTGGCTTTCCTTCCTGCCTCTGGGATAATAGTATTCATGAAATGTCAGACAAAGGTTTAAGTGTGTGTCTGTGTATGTGTGTGTCGGCCACAATGCCATTCAGAAAGTTTAACAAAAGTTCACTGTATAAATGCAGTATATAATTTCACTGCATTTAATTTATGGTTAAATGATTTAAATGAACTGAAAGTTAACATTATTACAGCAGCGTAATGGTAAATGACACACCTCAGGGGTCGACCTGTACTTCTTTTTTTTTTAAAGCCCCTGGGTGATTTTTTGAAACTGCCTATTTGTCATCCTGAGGTCATATTTGCATGGAGATAATGATGGAGACACTTTGCTGCAGGTTAAAGTCCCACTGGTTACAAAGACAGGATCATTATCAGCACTGATGCCAAACAGACAGGCCATTGGACACATTAGCATTTTTTCCCCAGTCCTCTGTGGTTTACACTGCAGTGATGAAATATGAATTGTGTCCGTTTGTGTATGTGTCTTGCATATTTATGATCTTCACTGTTTTCCTTTTTTTGCTACAAATTGAGCAGCTCAAAGTGAAGCAAAGAAACGTTAATACGGCCGCCGGAGTTGCTTTCGTGTAAATATAAAAATTCTCCAAGTTCGAAGGGAATAACGGCATCTAACAGAAAGTATATTTTGACACAATAAGAATTATTTCATTTGTGTAAACACAAAGGGTAGACTATAAATAAACATGGGTGATCCCAATTATGTCTGTATGGTAAAAAAAAATTAAAAACACAGTGAATTAGTCATTTACAATACTTTACTTTCGACAATACTTCTTCTACTATCAATCGTTGAATGACACTGTGAGACTGATGTGTTTCAAATATTTTACCATTTAGTAAAAGTCTAAAGAGGTTTTCTGTGTCTACCCTGAGTGACTGATGGCATGATTCAAACTAGTAATAATTCTGGAGCAGCAAGAACAAAACAAAAGCTGTGAAAAGTGGGGGAAGAGTTAGACCCAACCTCCTGTTTACCAAGACTTTAATCTTCAAAATTGTCTACCTGCGTGTTTGCCACACAGGGATGGGCGCCGTAAAGAGATTCTATCTAACTTGGGAAGAGTTTATTTTAGTTGTGACTTCAAGCCTCTGATTGTTATCCATGTGAAACACAACACGGGTTTAAAGTTGGATTGTTAGACGACTTTAAGTTGAAAGTGACTTTCAGGGGCCATTAGATTCTACCTCAGGAACAGGTCTGGATCTTCATACAGCTTCAGTTTTTACATACTACTCCCCTCTAAACAGAAGCTATGTTTCTAAATTACTCTCAGGAATGTCATCAACATAAATGTGAATGTTGGAGTCAGAGACTCCAGCCACATTCCGCTGATGTTGGTTCTTTGTAAAATTACAAATTTGTTCCCTCACGTATTTGCCGTCGACAGGAATAAGGTGCTGTGGGGTTTTGTTTGTCAGGCCATTTCCCTAAGCTCCTCTCCTGAATCATGTTTATGCATTTATGCTTGTGTTTGGGGAGACAGCTCAATTTCCTCTGAAATAGGGAGCATAATGAAATCCCCAAAGCTGTTGTAACTTTAGAATTAACTACACAGCATTCATTACAAATCCATTGATCCACACCGTTGTACTGTTGGGGTTTTTTCTTTCCTTTTTATTTTACTGTAAACTTTGTTTCTTTTAAAAAACAAAACCGTCCTCAGGTTAATAATTTATACCTATACCAGCTCCTCTTGGACTGGACTGTTTACTGATCTTTCAGACTGGTGCCGCAGTGTGACTGCGGTTGCATCACGGCTTCAAAGAAATGACCGTGGCCCAGAGGTAATGACGGGGAAAACACATCAGGCTGGTTCAAGACGCAACACATAACATGTGATTGTTTAAACCAGAGGTTCCCAAAGATTTTCTGCAGCACCTCTCTTTTGTAGATAGGAATTATTATCACCCCCGTCCCACCACCACCACCACCTCCTCAGTCCAACGATAGTGCATCAAATATCCACTGAACTAAATTTAAAACACTGTAACCTACAACAATTTCTGATAAAATCCAAAGGATAATATTACAAATCAAAACTATTTACCCACTATGGGAAAATAAAATAAAATATTGATATTGAAATGTTTTGGTCTTTCTTCAACCTCCTGTGTAATAACTCAATGGTGCCCCCTACTTTAGGAACCACTGGTTAAAAGTATTGTTTTAACCTTTGGGTTTTTATTTTATTTTATCTTTATATAAAGACCTTTAAAAAGCACAAATTATGGGTCAACAGTAGAAAAAAGAAATTTTAGGATATAAAAAACATAAGAAAGAGAGGCGACTGTTCTTGAAGCAGAAGTTCTCCGTAACTAAAGGTCAATTTAACAGTATAATTTAAAGTAACCGTATGAGTGAATAAAAGAATAAAAGCGTTTGTTGAGGTGACTTATATAAACAGAGTTCTGAGTGGGAACTGTCTTTGCTGACCTTTCTGTCACAGTTTTTTTTTCTTACAGCAGGATGATTCGATAACCATCACTACTGACTTTGTCCTGACTCATCACAGCACTTTCTGGCCTGGCACTTCAGCTCTTTACTATGCACTTTGTCTTTTCTCTTCACATCTGACCACTTTATTCAGCCAAACTGAATACTCTACACATATTTTAATCAATGTATTATGGTCACGAATGTGCAGCATTGAAACCACAAAACAACAAGTGGCGATATAAACAGCCACCAGGCGCCACGCAGAGTTGAAAATGAGCTGCAGGGCACTTCACCTGGCTGCTCAAGCCATAATAATCCAGCGAGAGTCTCATCTCTGACAATTAACAGAGCCTCTCCTCACAGCTGTCTTTTCTAACCTTATAGCTCTCACACACTCAAATTAAGCACTCCTGCTCTTTGATTGTAATTCCAAGCTGCTGCTGCTGCTGCTCTCGTGCTCCGTCAGTCTAATTGTCAGGGACAGAGCTGTCTTCTCTCATATCTGTAAATGAAAGAAAGACTTACTTTCTTCCTCACTTCCTTCTTTCTGCTGCTGCTGTGCTGTTGATAGCTTTGGCTTCCTCCTTTCTGCACCTTTGCCGGTTCATCTTTGGGGACGTTTCATTTGGGACACCAGTTGTATTCTAACTGCATTTAAAAATGTTCACAACACTGATGTGATTCTTAGTCTGTAGATATTTGTACAATTATATTTTTCTTCCAAATTAACTTATAGATTAGTTCTGGTTAGTTTATATTTCAACATAGTGATAGAACCAATGTCTCTTTATTTAAGAAAAAGAACCAGAACAAGACGGTGAAATTGTCTTTATGTCCAAAATCGAAGATCAATGATTTGGAATCGAACCACTGATCCACTATTGTGCAGGAGTCACTTGCTGTGAGACTGATGATGCTGAATGACAAAAAGGTCTGCTGGCTGTTTATGAAAGGTTACCCCTCTCTGCCCCACCCCCCCCACCCCCACAACAACAAATTCTCCCTCTTCTCTCTCTCTCTGAGAGTGTTTCATGCAGCTCCACATTTGCTGAGAGTAAACAGTACCAGATTGTGTGACTATTTAAACTTGATGTTGAGTGGGACGATGTTTTGACCCCACTAAATGAAACAACACCACATTTCTATTCCATCTCCTGCTGACGGGCATCCTGTCATCCTTTGTGGGAGAGTGCTCTGAAGGCAGGTGTGCTCAGTGACACCCTGAGCACCTGCTGCTTAAATCAAAGATATGGAAATATGTAGAATTAGAATGAAAGTGAGCAGCATTTATGTGAGCGCGCATATCCGCGACTTCTCCCTCTCTTCTCACGTGTGTGTGAAAGTGTGGAAGTGTGGATCTCCTGGGTGGCAGAAAAGCAGAAGTCTGGCCCTGCAGGCTTGATTTCAGGAGCTGATAATGAGGCACTGCTGGAGCTAATGGAGGCAAAGCCAATTTAGGCTCAACTCAGTGGCCGACTGATATCACCGCATCGACCAGATTGATGAGAACTCAAAGATGAGCCGGTGCGCATCAGTATTTGAAGATTTGGGATTGCACGCAGTCTTACAAAAAAAAGGAAAAAAGGCATGATGTGGCAACAAGACTGGAATTTTAAGTAAAACACTGGTACTGCAGCTTTGAGACCATGTCTACTCCCAGCAACAGTCCAAACAAACCCGGAGTTTTGACACGTTCATACATCCCACACACATTTACAGGCACTCGTTTCAAATTAAGGCTGTGATCTGCATGTGTTTTCCCCAGAACAGAGAACACAGCTCTGCTCTTCTTCTGTGAGATTTGTCACAGCAATATATTATAGCAGAATGATTGCAGTATCTGAGAGATTAATCAGTCTCCCATGTGTGCTGCAGTTTATTGCCTCATGATTATGAGTCTAATTACAAAGAAGTCTTACACCAGAAATTTTATGTACACACACACACGCATACGCACACTATTGGAATATTGAAGCTCATGATTAAAGTCTTAATGTGTAAATGGCAGAGACTAATGACTGCAACACCATCACCTCAGTGTTTGCTCTGAAGCTCAACCATCACTCCACCTTAATCCTGACGTTCAGATTTATATCAACAAAACTTCCTGATTCCATTTTTAACCAAATGTGTTGACATAAAGAAGCCATGATAAAAAAAAGATACAATTTGGGCTCCATGAAGGAAGGAAAGTGAACTACTGCACACAATTAAATGTGATCCCATCACCAAAGTGGACAGTGGGCAGCTTTAAGTGCCCGAGGAGCAGTGTGTGGGGACGGTGCCTTGCTCAGAGCACCTCAGTGGTAACTTGGTAGCTGGAGGATTCGAACCTTCCGGCCCCAAGTTTGCTTCCTTAACTACTAAGCCCCATATACTCTGAATGCACTGCATGCAACATACGTTGATACATTTTCCAAGGCCATTCTTCTTGGCTAGTGAGCTTTACACCTGACATCCACAGCTACTACATCCCAGTATCTGTTTAGAAAACGAAACCCTGTGCAGTGGGTTTACAGAGGGGCCTGGATGGAGCCTGTCCACTTCTGCTGCACTCCACCACCATGTCAAACAGTGATGAATGGGATTTTATTTACTATGAAAAGCATGAAAATTGCATCACCAACAGTTTCCTCACTTCCTGATTTATGATCTCAGAAATGGATTCATGGACTCATCTCTAGGTGTTAGCCTGATACTTTTAATGTTTGACCAAAAAGACTTAGTGTCAGAATCAGTTTAGAGCCTACTAAAGTGGTAATTCAAGGTAAAATCCATTATGATTAAATATGATGCAACACATTGCAATATGATGCAATCAATATGATAGATACCGTATGATGCAATACAACACAATACAGTTTGATAGGATAGTTCATAATATGATTCAATGCCCCACCATGAACTTGTGAAATAACATATGAAACATATAATTAAAACATGTTGTGAAAATACATTTGGATTTAACACTCTATGTCTGTCACTATTAGTGTTACTGTCTATTATATATATTATATAGTACATTGCTGTACTGTAAATCCTTTAAATAGTATATCGTTACATACTAATTATATAGTATGTTTCTTATATAATTACTAACTATTAATAGTACAACATGTTACTATGTGTATACTTTACATGTACAGGAATAACTGATGTTCTCAGTGCTGCAAAACAAAAGGCTTTCATGTAAACAGCGGTGGAAAAACATCAAACCTGGAGTTGAAATTCATAGCAACTAAAATCTGCAATGAAAAAAAATTGAAAAAATATATACTTGTGATTGTATAAAAACATAAACTCTATTGCATCATCTTCATTCGCCCCAGACACCTGAAGATATCGTTCAGACTGTTCTTATGAATAAGCCATTGTTATGTAAATAATGCCCTGAGGTAATCTGGTTCATACTGGTATATTCTTATCTATGTAAACACTGTAGCCAGTGTTGTCTTCTGTATTGAGGTCAGTTCAGTTTTTCTATCCTTTCGACACCAAGACTACTGTGCATGTTGACACAGTTGCCATATGGTTCAATATATATATATATATATATACATATATATATATACACACACATACACTCTGTTCTTCAGGTATAATATACAACATTATACATTCTTTGTTCAGGGTGACACACACACAGAGACACACACACACACAGACACCAGGATCTCTGGGGATATCAAGGACAATGGAGGGACACTGTACACAAGGGCGAGGTGTGGCTCCTGTGACACAGCAGGACTCAAGCTGCTCATGTGTGGCACAGTGGGGGGCGAGGATGTCTGTTCAGCATCATGATTTATTTCCATAACAACTTGTAAGTGAGTCTACTGGGCAAAGCGAGGAAGATGGAGAGAAGTCCAGCCTTTGAGCAGAGAAATAAAAATAAAAGTTCTGTGAAGGACATGTCTGCGCCGACCTTGTTAGTGGGGAAAAAAATGACCTTTTGTACCAGTCACGAACTGCACTGGATCTCTCTCTCTCTCACACACACACACACACACAGGCACACATACACTGAGCCACCTAACAGGGCTCTATGATTGGATTATATTTTTTCTTTATTCAAAATCTCTGTTCCCTTTTACCTTCACAGTGTTAGAAATGATCAGTGAAGACACTCGACTCACCACAGCTGGAGTTACCATGCTTATTGCTCAATGTGAACGTTTAAAGGCCATAGCCTTAGACTCCAAGCATGCTCAAATTATCATGACATCATTACTTCCCTGTGTTGACGGTGACAAAATTGGGAAGTTGCCTGATACTTCCTTCTAGAAATTGAACTCTACACTATGTTTGCTCACACTTTTTGGCTTAGGAGCTACTGTTCAAATGACCTGGCTGGTGATCTACCTACTTTAAAAACATTAAATAAAGATTCACTCATATAAAGTGAACATACACACGAGTACGGAAAAACCCAATGTAAACGTCCAATAATATATTAAAGTTTACTTTGTTTTGTAACAAGCACAACAACAACTGCTGCTGCGCTGATTCAACCATTACTTTTACTAAACAGGAGCAGATTTTTCTTTCAAACACCTAACTCTAGCCATGAATTCTGCGACTGCTTGAAGAGCTACGGAGCAATAATGTGGGTGCAATTATACTTTCATTAAACTTGGACACAAGTTCATCAGAGGTTCATTCTGCTCCTTCAGCAAACTATCAATCGGTACCAGCAAACCAGCTGATACGTTAACATTTTAATAATAAAGAGCCCATTAGTGTTATACACAGAGCTCCGACGAAGGAGGATGATGGGAAGTAGAAGTGATAATACCATGTCCTTAAACATCCAGCTAACTTATCTCGGCCTGTCCCAGATTTCAGATTACGCCTCCGAGGTAACGCCCATTATCACAGCAACCGATCGTTGGAAAGTTTTCAGATTGTACTGATAAAAAAGTCTCAAAATTGTGTTTTCCTAATGTTTCTGGTGTGTGGTTGGTCAGTGGAACAAAGGCTTTTCCTGGTGCAGGTTCCCTGCAGTGGCGTGGTGAACGGCCTGATGGGACCATGTCTCTCTGAGGACACTGTGGTCTGTTTACAGGAGGAAGCTCAGCAATTTCCTCTTCATGAAACAGGACACAGCCGTATATATCACCTCCAGTCACTTAATACAAGACCTAGCATCACACCCCTACGGAAGCGAATACGATTTTGTTGTTTGGGCTCACACAAAAGTGTAAAAAATAAAGTATTCAAATTCATATTTGGCATTTCCACAAGCACTGAATAATTGATCTCCTGAGGGAGGAGTGTGTTGAACACACATCAGTCAGTGCTGGGCATCACTGTCTGCCTGTGTGTGTACAACGTTGAATGATCAAGACGGGGGGCGGGGGGGCGGGGTTTGCCTTTTTGGCCTGGACTTTTAACAGACTGACTTTAAATGTACACATGTGGAATATGGTCATTAAAATGATTTGATGGAACGAAATCAAAAATGCAGCCCCTGATATTTTCTTCTTCTTCTCTCTCTCTCTCGCCAGCCGTTCATTAATGATATCTATAGCCCTTTAAGCTGTTCATGAGTGTCAGTGGAGTGTCGAGAAGCTCTCTAATCCCTGACTTGCTCTTTATTCTGCCCGCGAAGCTCATCTCCTCTGTGTTAGATCCTGAAACACCGCTAATCCCCTGGTGGCATTGTGTGCTGGGCCCCAGCTGTCGGCTCCCATGCTGCTCTGCTTCGCGCCCCGCTAATTTGTGGCCTTGCTTGGGATGCTATTGATGTCACCCTGCCCTATCTAGTCCAATAACTTTTTTCAACCTCTAATTCTTTCACATTACTTCTTGCCCTCCCCTCCCCGTCACCCCCTCTCCTGATGAAACTCCCAGCTGGCACCAAGGCCTTTGTTTCCTCTGTTGTGTTCAGAGTCAATGTCCTTTCCCTTCCTGCACATTACAAATCTGCCACAGAGCCATTTTCTCCTCCTCCTAGGAAAAAGAAAAAAGAAACTGAATGGATAAACAGTGGAGGCGGCGGAGGTGAAGGCAGTTTGGACTGAGCATCTGAGCGCACACATGCTAAGAATTTGAGTGATACCACATTAAGAATCCTCAAGTTCAATTAAGAGAGCTTAACAATGCATCAGTATGCAGGGAAGCTCTCCCATCTTAATGAGCAGAAGGAGGCGGGAAGGGGCAGACAGGAAAAGGAAGGGTGGTGGGTGATGGTGCCGACAATGATTAGAACTGTTTCCCTTCTTTCTAAGCTTCTGTGTTCAGCTCAGTGGAGCAGCAGCCGGCAGCAGAGGGAGTGTGGATCCTTTGGTGTTGCCCACCCAGTCTAATGCCAACTGCCTGCCACTCAGAATGGAAGTGTATGGAAGCAGAGAAACTCAATAAAATTCAGATCATCACCAGCAGAGTGTCACAGGCAATTTGATCCTCCATTAAAACTACAAAGAATACAAGAAAAATATTTCTGCAGCCAAAGTATTTCCTTATGAAAGTGCTGAAGTATCAAAAAGAAAGTTACCACTTTAGAGAATGAGTACAGTAGGAATAAGACTAAAAGCCAACATTATTCTCATTATTCTCTTCGATACTGATCATTTAGAAAGAAAAAAAAATACTCAAGACGTTCCAGTTATTACCATTCCCACATTTTCTTGTGAGCTCTGAGGAAACCAGCTTAGCTTGGGAGGCATCTCAGCAAAGTGACCAGCTTAGCATGGCTGTGAGTTTCAAATGAGAATGGCAAACAAAGCCTGCTACCAGCCAGGAAACTGTTACAGCACCACCAACCAGCCAAAAACACAAACAACTGTTTGGTTTTACATCTTTGTGCTTTTAAAATGAGATACAATCCAAACTGCTGCAGGCAACAAACAAGTGGAAGCTGCTCTTAAAAGTCAATACAGGAATTGCAAAATATTTGTAGATCTGGTAAAATTAAGTTTCAAGAGGAAACAATGAAGTTTCCCACCTGCTCCCAGAACGTTGGAGCATCTTTTTACCATTTTGAATGTTGCGGCGTGTGACAAGAGGTCACAAGAAACCTCAGTGTGAACAGTCATGTAACCTTTCATCTGACTTTTACAAGAATAAAGAAAAAATACAATGGACAGAATAATCCTGCAGACGCCGTTGAAGAAGCTAGTTAGCGGAAAGAGCAAGTTTCACTTGCTCTGTCAGGTGGCAATTATCAGTAAACAAATTAGTTGAGCAACTTCACTTCTATGCAAAACATAACAACGAAAGCACAGACGCCACAGCTAACATTAGCTAAGACAGCCCTGCTACAGGCAAACTTTGCAGCCAAGTGTAAAATAATGTTCTTTACTGATATATCAAATAGACAGTTGATGTTGATCATCTGAAATGTCTTCTGCATGTATTTACATAATTACAAATGATTAAGTTGTTCTGCTCCTGCTCCTGGTGGTAATAACTATTATTCATATATTTTCCTCAAACCATCTGTAGGTAATCTGACAAATACAGGTTTTAAAGTGAACTTGTTTATTATTTTTATAGATAGACGTACAGCGTAGAAACATTTGAATCCCAGATTGTCGAAGTGAGCCGTTGAAAGTTTGCTGCAGCAGAGGCAGGAGTGAAAGATCAATAGCGTCTATTGTAGAAAGAACATTAAAGTAGGGAGAACAGGGAAGGACTTGAGGAAAAGAACTTGTTAATAGAGAGGCAGAGAAAGACGACGGTGAAATGAGAGCTGTGAAAATTGGACTTGGAGCCCGAGTCGAGACGCTGGGAGACGGGAAGTGGAAATGACCTTGTTTTCGACATGGCATCATTGATGTGACATGCATTACCGTCGCAGCACTTCTCCCTGGCCCTCATTGTCCCGTCCCTTCAGTGCTTTGTCTCCACTGCCAGTCATGATCACAGCCTCTGCCCGAGACACAGGACCAACACGCCTGGCTGCCCACTCCTGTCATCCCCGTCTCTGAAGTCCCTGTCAAAAAGGATAAATAAGAAAAAAGGAGTCGCTAAGAATTTTACAACACTCACTCATTTTGTGCATCTTTCCCTTCACAGCGTCTTCCCTCCTCCGTGAGGCTGAGGGACATTTCTGGGAGCTGTTTTAGGTCAGACTGAGTCTTTAAAGGTCCAGAAACCACAGAAATAACGCAGAGAAAACCCAATACACACTAAAGGAATCTCATCATACCAGTCTGATCAACTTCAGTGATTAAGAAAAAAACAAAGTTCATTTATTTGTACATTGAACTGAATGCAGTACAGATGTACTATTTAACCACAAACACTTTGATACACAGGAACCACAGAACATTCCAGATCTAACCCATTACAGAGCCAGTCTGTGAAAGCGGCTGCTGGAAGATTAAGCCACCAAATTATTTCTCCACTTCAGTGTAATTTCAACCACCAGTCCTTCGACAGATGTTCTCCCTCCTGTTTTCCTTCCTGTCACTTTGTTGGAGGGAAAATGAACAAACTGTGTTTGTTGCCAAGAGTGTGTCATTTCCATGCGCCGCATTCCTGTCTTTGTTTGACAAGCAAAAGCGAGCGCACCTTGTGATCACAGTCAGGGAAAAACGTCGGAGTAATGAAAGTGAACGTTTGATTCAGACATTTCAGTTAGGCTGACAAATGTGGAATGGCAGAAACGACTGGGAAGAAAATTGACAAAGGAAAGTACAGGCTCCAGCAAAAGAACACTCTCATTTTTCTTTCAGCTTCTCATGCATCAGTTGTCAGTGTCCACACTGGCTCTACCCTGTCATTAGGGCTGTAGGTTGGGTCAAAATATAAGAATAAGGAATAGCAACAAACTATTCATTCATTCACCTTCTACTGCTTAATCCGCTTCAGGGTGAGGGCAGGAGGAGGCCCGAGCCAATCCTAGCAGTCATCAGGCGAGGGCGGGGTTCAACCTGGACTGTTGGCCAGTCTGTTGCTAACATAATGACAAACAACAATTTTAGACTATTATTCACACCCATGGTGAAGTCAAATTAACCTCATCCCTAATCTGTATGTGGGCTGGGGAGGGAGGAAGTGAGGGAGGGAGGAAGGAAGGCGCACATGCAGAACAAAAATGCCTCTATACCCGTACAAAGACAGAGTGAATTAAACCAGCATACTGCTGATACTCAGGCTCTAAGGACAGATTGCTTCGAATTTGTTCCACCGTGTGGAACCTCAAGCAAGATTTGCAACAAAACCAGTTCACATTTAATATGATATGATTGCATTTAATGAGCTGCGTTACTGCCACCTATTGACTATATTTTCCATTCTAATCTACATCTTCACACAAGGCTCATTTAAAATTCTTTAATTAAAAGAAGCACAGCAATAAATTGAACGTACAATAACAGGCTGCAGTGCTGAGCAGCAGTGACTACACCGGAGGAGGAAGCAGTCGTAGAAACGAGGTTGAGCAACGCAGCAGGTTGTGGTTTTAAGCTGGGGAGTGAAGGGGGCAAACAGAAAACAACAACATTTCCTCACCTCTACACATATGATCAGAATCAAGGTGTGGACAAGAGTCTTTGTAAAGCACAATAAAGCATTGTTTCCCAAAGACTGGGTTGCAGCCCTCAGGTGGGTCGCAAAAATTTTTTGGGGGGTCATCTCACATCATGTTTCCCAGGAGTTTACGAATAATGTCTATTGACTTGGGTTTGTGACTTTTAAAATATAGCTCCCCAGAAAAAAAAGTTTGGGAATCAATGGCTTACAGTACATATTACTATTGTTCGGTATGAAATCAATTATTTTCCACAAACTAAAATCCAAAGAAAGCCCTGAACGGTGTTGGTCGGACGGCTTGATCATGTGGTACAGCCTCGTCCAAACCCATCTGTCTATAAAAAATTGTTGTTCTTGTTCTTGTTCTACCTCAGAAAGAAGTTTTTATTTGAGTTCCCTCCCAGGAGTGTGTGAGAGATTATGGAGCTGCAGCGCAACAGGATTAGGAGTTAATTTCTCCACGTTGGTAAAAGCCCAGTGAGCCTCCTGATACAGTGTCACACGCTGCTACTTATTTGGACAAATTCAGCACAAAAATGGTGCAATTCCCAAGTGCACATATGCGGGTGAATACGTGAGTTCCCACAGTATCACATTTCTGAGCTCCAACAAGTCGACTTTTATCACTGGTTATCACTTCAGCCGCCACAACGCACCATATCTGTTGACGAAATGTTTGTTTTTGTAGCCTGCTGATTCATGTGTGTCACAAGAACTGAAAAACCCAAAAGGAACAATAAACACAAGCTCAATACAAAAACATATGCACCAACAGCACACAGAACAGAGTAAAAAAAAACCTCAATTACTGTATGGAAATAACACAGGGCTCTGACAGCAGTACAGAAACGACATACAGACATTAAACATGGATCACAGATCAGGATCAGGATTTGCCTCTGTGGGTGTACAGCACAGTGGGCTGCAGTGGGTGCTGTACTTGCCCCCTCCCCCGTGCCTTTTTCATCCTGACCCTGTAGTACCGTGCGTGTGGCAAAATGGTCACAGCAAGTGCTGTTGCCTGGACAACTGATCACTGGATTAGAGACTGAGAAAATATAGAGACGAAGAGGGTGAGGTTGGAGAGAACAGAAATGAAAGGAGTGGGGAACTGCACGTAGTTGGATCAGTGATGTTTAATCCTGTCAGTGATAGTTTTGGTTTGGTCAGTTAATGGACGTCTGCTGTAGACGGTGAATTCTGGTGAATTCTATGACCTGACTGGAACAACGAAGAAAACAATTACAGCTCAGAATGAACCTGGGAAACTATTCTTCAAACAGACTTCCCCAAAGCTAGCATAAGAAACAATGTTGTCTACGATTGTGCCAAAGAAGCTAACAAAAAAACAAACAAACAAACAACAAGTAGATCCTTTTAATGTTTAGGTTTAAATCTTTTTAAAGTTTTTCTGATGACAACAACAAACCAAAATGACTTTATTTGGCATAATGTGGGTCAAACAATGAATTCAGTTGCGTTAGCGATGTTGTCTACGATTGTGCCAAAGAAGCTAACAAAAAAACAAACAAACAAACAACAAGTAGATCCTTTTAATGTTTAGGTTTAAATCTTTTTAAAGTTTTTCTGATGACAACAACAAACCAAAATGACTTTATTTGGCATAATGTGGGTCAAACAATGAATTCAGTTGCGTTAGCGTGTCATGAAATCATCAGGTGTGTCGTGAAAACCAGCTCAGACTATTTTGCAAACCTAAATATCCTGAGAAGATGTGTTTGATTAATGACCTGAGATGCTCTCTGACTTAGGGTTTCCTATTTAGAACAATTACGGTGTAACTCTATAGACAATAAAGACAAAATGCAGCGCTGACTTCAGCGCCAGGTACACTCGAGAGACAGTAGTGTGAGACCAAAGTACTACAAAACAAACTCTTCTCCTATAATTGGAAGATTGGAAGAAACTCTCGAAAGGACACTGAAGTATTCCAAAATAAAACAAAGAAAGTTTCCAGTGACCTTAACCCTGATACACCATAAAACATAACATTACAGGACATAAAGCGCAGAATTGTAAATGTTTAACGTGAAGCGACCTGCCTTCCTGCATAACCTCCCTCACAACGCAGTCCGCCTCCTCTCATCTTGGTTTGACTCTATTTCCTTGTAGACCAGGCCATCAGACTACAGGCTGTGGCACACTTGAACGTAATGTCACCAGGAGAAAGAGCACTATCTACTGCTGCTGCATATTAAAAAACACCTTTGCTATATTCTGGGAGTGTGGCGTGTCTTTATTCAACATCAGGGGCTCCACAGAGACACAAATGGCTTCAGGCTAGCAGCGGCATGCGGAGAATGTGAGCTGCGATCTGACTGACTGATCGTTTTTAATAATCCTCAGCCTCAGTGCAGCCATCAGTTCATATTTAACCAGGGTGGTGTTAGGTGTGGTCTAGCATCGCTCTGTTTTTCTATTAACTTGAAACAAGGACCATTGTCATAATTTATGGAAACAAGGCTAGCGCTCATGTGTTACTAACTAAATGACCTTTGGAGGCCACATTCATGGGCCACTTGTGGTTTACCGGTGCAGCATTTTACCCAAATCTAAGGGGCAACTGTGTGAATAATAATATCATTACAGCCGCTGACCTGTGACGGTTTCTAGAACTTTCTGAATGGTCTGTAGGTGATGTCAGAGAGGCAGTATTTCAGAAAGGGGAAAATTGATTCTGCCCTTGATGTTGTAATAAACTAAACTGACAAACTTAATTAAATTTTTGTTAAAGATGATTAGGTCTGTTATTTATTATGTGCTTCAAACTCCAACGTTTGTAACAGCTAACCTCTATAAGCAGGGAACACTTTTTTGCTTGTCCAAGAAATAATTTAAAACATTATAATAAATGTTAGTTTTTGTTTACAAATTATAGAACAAGACAGTGAGTCCAATTATTTCGGCCATCTCTGAACAAACGTACTACTATAGATAATACCACTTCAAATTCATTCACTCCAGTGTGACAGCCAGCTCTGGTTATTGTAATGTGATTTTTCCTTAACATTCATTTTGTCTGTCTCCAATTAATCACCTGCAGCTTCTTAGCTCTCGGCTGCCAGGCTTCCCACAAAGGCCAAATATTCTGCTCACATATTCAGCTTCATCCTCTCTGACTCCGACTGAGTCTAAATGAAATAAATATTAGTTTTAAATTTCAATGGCAGCAGCCACCAGATGAATACTAATACTCACTGGCTGTGTCTTTTTGTTGAACACTTTGCGGACACCTAATTCACATCCCACAGCTATAATAAAGACTTAATGCTCCTGCTGCTAAAAATGATGACACATTTCCCTATCTTTCATTTTATTTTCTTCCCCACTAATATTATTGCCAATATTGACGACACCAAGAGAAAACACTGCGAGTCATTCTTGATAAGAGCCGTGCGGTGTTGTTTTCCTCTTTGTTGACTTTTTTTTTTTTTCAGTATTTACCGGCCGGTAGAAATAAAAATAATATTCAAGAATTTATTAGTAGAACTTTTTGAGGGTAGGCAAATTTAATGAAGTAAAAATAAACAAATGCCAAGTGTTCCTCCAGTGATATATCAGAATAAATAAATAGTATACCTGTAAACTGCATTATAATAAGGCAATAATTAAAAAAAAAACAAGTTAGGAAGAGATTTCTGGGGGACAACAGCTTCTCAGGTGTCAATTTATAAAAAGCTAAGTTTTCTCAGAACTAGGAAATATACAAAACAAAATATGGTAAAAATATAGTGAAACTAAAAGATAACCAGACAGTTAGCCATAGAGAGCAAAACATTTAAAATTGATAATATACAGGAGTTAATGCAAACCATAGCCAAAAGATAACTAGACATTAGGTTTAAAGCATGATCACTAAGGTTAGCTTAGCTCAGTGGTTCTCAATTATTTTCTGTCATCTTAGGGGCAGAAATGTTTTCACGCCCCCCTCTGACCATCATCCCCATGAGTTGTTATTATATAATACATTTGATTTGTCATATTTTTATGTCATCATGGGGTCAATGCCGTGCTCCACTGGAAGCCCCTCATGCCCCCCCGCCCCACTATTTGAGTAGTACTGGCTTAGCTCAATCATCACTCTCACAAACAAATACCTGACATAAAATCAGATGGCTTGATGGCTTTTATATAAACAATTTGACACAAATGTTGTTGATACGATGCCAATTCACTCAAGACATGCATTTCACAGCCACAAAAAGCCACGTTGGAGCATTTAAAAAAAAGAAAACCAAAACTCAAAGTCCTCATAAAAGCCATTAAGTGCTATGACTGGACCCCGGGCCAGACTTTAGACATCACAGATGTCCTAAGAGATACCTAAGAGATGTATGTACACTGTATGTATTTTACAGCATCTTTGAACAAATTTGAACTAAATGATAATCAGTATAATAAACACCTCAAGTTCAGTTAGAATGAGAATGTATGGGCTATAAACATGTTTTCTTTGCTTTCACCCGGGGACACATTGTCAAAGAATGGGGACATTTTATAACAGGTCTAAACAACTAATCCAAAGTTATAAGCCTCTTATCCACGATGCTTACCATCAACTTCGAACAATGTTCCTTCTGTCTGAAATAAAATGGACAAATCATGTTCATTTCTTTAAAACAGGGAGGAATCAAACAGAAATGTAAGTGTGTGATTCATTATGTAAACTGTGCCTTTGTCAACAAAGGCCTCTCCTCCGTGTCAGGGCCAAGGTGGGAGCAGAGTGGAGAAGAAAAACTGTTGTTTGTTGTGACAGAAAACTGCCATTCAACTGAGGACAAATGAAGTGTCAGAGGTTTCCTTAGTGCTGCAGTGGTGTCATGTCCACATTCAACTGCCCTTATACATTCAACGTGAGGAGGAGACAGTACAGAATACTGATGAATGGACACAGCTGAGCGTACACGTAGTTGGACAAATCCTTCTGACTACTACGTGCAGAATCCCTGGCACTTGTTATTCCTCCTATCGTTAGTCAAACAAGCACACGGCTGCTGTTATCACTGTGTTTGAGATCTGGACCCAGGCCAATACGTTTCCTTAACGACGTGCAGCCATTAGTTCCTTGTAGACGCGGTCCAGAACAGGAACTGCTCTGTTTGACAAATCACCACCATCCCAGGGCAGGAAAAAAAACAAGACTGCAAACATCTTTATCTGCCAATTTAGTACATTCCTATAAAGTGTACTCGGTTCAAAATTTCAAGGGCAGGAGAGGGGGAGTAGGGTGGGGTGGTGGTGTGGGGGGTCACTGACGGGCAGAGTGAGAGGAATGAGGGAGTAAAGCTAAAGTGTTACAGGTTTACAGGAAGAGAAAGGAGTGATTTAATTTCATTTTAATTTCCTAATTTAATGGTTTACTTATTTACATGTATGCAGATGTTTTTATCCAGACTCACAGGAGGAGGATTAACAATCAAGCTACATGTTTATATTCAGCCCTTATCTTGAACTCCCTGACCTCTGCTGCAACCTAAAAATATTCATTTTCTTTGCATGGAAACCTGACATTTCCTCTGCCGGTCTCTTCATTTTACCTCTCTCACTCACTCTCTCTCTCTCTCTCTGTGTTACCACCTGTTAACATCTGTCTGTCACCCAGAACGTAGAGGCAGAAGACAGTCATATAGGTCTTCAAAGAAATCTAAGTCAATTCGCCCCCAGAAAACCTGCCAGTGTGTGTTTTCTCCCCCTCTTTCAATATCCTTCTTCTCCTGTAGAGCTTTTCCTCGCTGTCTGTCTCTTTATCTTCTCTGCCTTTGTTTTTATGCCGTTTCTCAGGGCTTTATTTTTTTTTTTCCCTTTTCCTCTACATTTCTATCTCTCAAACGTGTCCCTTTTACACCCCTGTCACTCCCCCCCCCTCTCTCTCATTTTCGCTCAGGTACACCTGACTGACTGCTGCTGAGGGCTGACACTTTAAAGACCTGGGCTTCAGCATCTGCTACCATCAGAATAACAATATGTGCTGCATGCTTGGTCACGCGAGTGTGTGTTGCCTGTTGCTGTGAGGACATTTAGAAAAAACAATGCATTTCCTTGGTCTCTCCTCTGACCTCAGCCATCCCACTTTGGTGGGGGTGTTTATTATTGTCATTCTAACTGAACTTTAATCTAAAACTAAATGATCTTCATAAAATAAGGTAAAGTCACTCAACAGATTTTGGTTAGAAATTACAATAATAATAAATCAGAACCATTAACCACCTAAATAGTCAACATGTATAGCTGCGCACACATACACACACACACACACACACACCTCCCACATTTGAAGCAACATCTAGCACAAGTGAAGGCACACACACATGCCACCAGGCCCCGCCTCCTCGTCCCACACAGTATGTGTTGGAGCAGATATAAAGGACTGTTTTCAGCTGCAGGGACTGAAAGACCACCAGACCAACAACAACAACAACAAGAGGAACCACAAAGCTTCATTCTTCTGGGCAACAACAACATGTCCTGCATGCGTTGGTTACATCAGAAGAATTTTAAGCAGCTGAGTGTAAGGCCTTTAAGACCTCATCCTTGTACTGTGCTTGTGTGTATGTGTGTGTGTACGCACACACACACTCTCACCTACCTTCCCACCACAACCTGCCCGCCCTCACGCTCCTTCTGTGTCTCAGTGGGCAACTCCTCAAACCTCCCCTTATACCCCGGCCTCTTTGTTGATTCACGCACGGATGTCTCTCCCAGATTACTGCTCTCAGTGCCTGCCGTGGATCCCTGTCCTCCTGAGAGCACCGCACCGTAGAAGATTGACTTTTTTTTCTTTTTTTTTCGTCTATTTAAACTGTTTAAGCAATCAGTTGTTGAATTGACAGCATTCTTTATTGTCTACAATAGTCCGATATAATAACATAATAACCAAAAAAAAAATACAGTCCTTCAGTTTTCTGCACTGTAGAACTTGTTGAACTACGTGAAGTCACGGGGCTAAAGAAGCGTTTTACACTTCTGAGATGTAAATAACTTTGTTCTGACATCTAGTGGATACAGTAAGGTTGGTCTGACTCTACTGGGAAACCAAAATACTAGATGTTTCTTCTCAAAGTGATCCAACATCAGTGCAGGAGAAAGACTTTTCTTGTTCATAAAATAACATTAAATCAAAACAGTCATTTAGTTAACATCTAGGTCCTGCTGTACTGATTTATTCGGACAGAAGTTATAATTAAGGCCGTCAAACGATTCAAATGTCTGATGTGATTTATCTAAGGGCAGCTGTGGATTACTCACAGACGAAAAGACAAATAACAGCAGCTACATGTCATTCATTTGGACAGTCAAAGCCAGCACAGCATTAACACATTTACATTTCCTCAAAAGCTATGGAGACTTTTTAACATTCAAAGACACAGAGACTTTAAAAACAACGGCATTCAATTAAAGTTGATGTGATGAACAGCCACCCTGGTTTTTGAAGTGATTTTGCAAAACAACTTGGAAAAGAACAAAAATAGACTGCTGCTGGTCCATCCACTGACAAACTGTTCCTTTACACCAAGTCTTGGATTTAGTAAAAACAAACAGAGAAACAAAGGAGAAACTGCAATTACCGACCCTCATTTGTACAATGGTGCACAGGAAGAACTGCCAGTGAGTCAAACAGTAGTAGACCGGTCCTCATGGTTTTCATGTGGTTGGTAAAACAGGATGAGGTGTTCATCAGTGCCGATGCCCTCAGGATACCCTGTTAGTTGTCGACTCAAATAGCTCAGAGTGGAAATGAAAACAAGTATCTAATTCACTTTTAATTTGATTTAAAATAAAGGACTTCAAAGGAGGGGAAACACAGTAAAATGTTTTTTTTGTCATGTAATTATGACACGCTATTAGATTTTACTAGATTTAAAAACTTCAAATTAATCATTATCAAATCCAATTAATTATTATTATTATAAAAAAAACATAGACTGCAGTCTGCCATTCTCTGTCTCTTTTTCTCTTACACACACACACACACATACACACACACACATACACAGAGACTACCACTTCTAATCAATGAGATCTAAATCCCTGGGGTACAGCCTCTAATAGACCGTCTGCTGGTGAGATGATAATCGTTTGGCGATATGAAGGCTCGGTGCAGTGTGGTGGCAGCTGACAGCGAAGCTGCTGAATGAAAATGCTGTAAAGTGTGTGCCAAAAGCCTTAACTTCCAGTGTTGCAGCCCTGAGGCAGACAGTAATGAGAACATTTTTGTCAAGGTGAAGGAACGATAAGAGATAAGAGACAATGTGCTAAACTTTAAAGAATGCAATCAGACTTTTAAATAAGGGAGCAGGGGTTTATAAAATCCCTTCAGTCTCTTGGACAAACAAGTTCGTTGTTGTTGTTGTTTGTTTTTTTTTTTTTTTTTTGCCTTTGTGGAGTGATAATTTTAATGTCAACTCCAATCAATAAGAGCCATCATTCATTTCTGGGATAGTTACTTATATAGTACAACCTTGTTTGCCCTTTAAACTGACGGTTTCTCTTCAAAAGTGCATTTCAAACAACACTGAAAAACTGGAGTTGATTCGTGATTAAAAATGCAACACGGATTTACTGTACCAGTTGACATCATAGGAGATTAACACTAGATGGTGCCGTTTAGTTACATGCTGCCTTACGTCAACGTCAACCACTCTGCTGTTGGTAATAGACTGACTAGAGAACAAACACAAAATAAATAAAATATTAAACCATCAACAGGTTATCTGCCTAGATATTTTAATATGCCACTAGGAGTGTATACAGACTTTGTGCTTATATTTTATTTCCTTTAAGTTTGCAATTTTTTTTACATATGTATATGTTGTATAAAATGGGAAAATACTATACAAATTAAAGGGACGCAACCTGCTGTTTAATTCCAAAAAACACTTTTTATATAGTGTGATCGCATGTGTATATTTTGTGTTGCATTTAAAATGTAAATTTTTTGGTGTTTTCAACACTGCACAGCTCCTTTTGTCAAATCACCAACTAATCTACTTAATTATACCAAAATGTTCAGCAGTTATCAAATGCATTTCTCCTATTGTATCAATCATGTATCTCTTCACATCTGTGTTTTTTTTCCGTTGCTCCTGCAGTAACCTAATCCTGTTTTCGTACGTCTGAGTCTCACCAGTCAGCTGACCAGACGAGCAGCCAACAAGATGACTGATCAACTGTCAGTGCTGTTTTTACTGCTACAATTCTGGGCCAGACGGAGACGCAGCTGATGGAAGAATCAAGTAGACAAGAACAGACGAGAACGGGGGAGGTCATGTGCAGGCGAAAAGAGAAGTAAAGTAAGAATATGACAGCAGGGGAGGAAAAAAGCAAAGAAGTGAGTGATAGGAGTCAGTCAGATACGGAGATTGAACACTAACATGTCACATGTGAGCACAGTGGCGTTGCCAAAGGAAGGCTCTATTTTTAGAGGCGGAATGTACACAGAGGCCTCGTGGAAAGGGACCATAACAACAAACACAACGTGACACACTCCTACAAAGAGACAGATCCATCTGAGCAACACACAGTTACAACGCATCGACGCCAGAGAAAAGAGGAGGGAAGATAGGAAAAATGGCAGCACATATTTCCTACTGATATCTGGCTTTGAATACAAAACACAGAAGGAGAAATAGGAGGAACAGGTAAGTGTGTATTTTGATCAGACACATTCAGATATTTGTTTATCTGTCGGAATTTGGACTAAAAATAAAATAAAACATTTTTGCCACACTTATATTACATAGTTTGGGTCAGTAGTCATAGACAAAGAGTTGATGTTGGCTTAAAGGAGGGTTGACCGAATTTATCAAATGTCACTAGTGGAGTTTTACCAATTGTGCACAGTTAATAATGTTTAAAAGAAAATATTGTAAAGTAAAATGTAAAGTTTTATGTCCAATATAAAGAGAAATAAAGTGGAAAGTTAAAAAAATTAATCACACAAGGCCATATTAAACACTTTTTTTTTTAACTTGTATATAATCCTTACCCATGGCATAGGATCTGTTGAAGCAGTTATAGGTCCATGTCTCCTCCTCTCCATCAGGTTAGGGCCTAGGTGTTCTGTGCCATCATTCTCCTCCTGCGTCCTGTAACAGAAAATATGACAATACTTTTTAATTTTAGACTTCAGCTTAACATTCCAGATAGTTTCGATAATCTAATCATAAAAACTAAGCCCCGGCTGCAGACAGTTTGACAATAAACAGTGTGGTTTCTTTCCCCAGCATGGATCAACCGTCAGTCCAAGTTTTCCACTACAAAGACAAAGAGCAGAGCTCCAACCTGCTCCTGCAGCTCAACGGTCTGAGACAGGACGGAATCCTCACAGACGTGTTACTCTGCTCTGAGAACACAGAGATCCCATGTCACCGCAACATCCTGGTCTCCAGCAGCCCCTACTTCAGGGCCATGTTCTGCAACAACTTCAGAGAGAGGGAGCAGACCAGGGTTGACCTGAAGGGCGTCACCTCCACCATCCTCAGCTACATCATTGACTATGTGTACACTGGACTCATTAGTATCAGCATAGACATTGTGCTTCCTCTGATGGAGGCCGCATCCATGCTGCAGTACGGCCGTCTTTTTGAGGCCTGTTCCACTTTCCTCCAGGGTCAGCTGAGCCCGGACAACTGTCTGAGTATGATAAGACTCTCTGAGATCATGAACTGCAACAGTCTGCAAGGCAAGGCAAAGGAGATGGCCATGAAGAGCTTTTCAGACGTGTCAACCTCTGAGGACCTGTGTGAGCTCTCCTTACCCGAGCTCCTCAGATACCTGGAGGACGATGCTCTTTGTGCAGAGGAGGAGCAGGTCTTTGAGACACTCGTTGCTTGGATCCATCACGATCCTTTAGCCAGACGCGGCGCTATATGTGACCTTTTCAGAAAAGTTCGCCTTCGACACATTCACCCCACCTACCTCTTCCAGTTCATAGCCAGTGATCCTCTGATCCAGTCTTCCACTCTCTGCACTGAACTTATTGACTGTGTGAGACGCCTCATGTTTTCTGTCAACACAAAGTGCATCGATGACACCGCAGTTGACTTCAAACCTCTTTGGGTGGCACCACGGAGATACACCTGCAGTGACATGTTGGTGGTGGTGGGTGGGAGAAAGAACAACGAACAGACCTCCAGAGATGCCCTGGTCTACAGTGAAAACAGCCAGACGTGGCAGTGGCTGGCCAAGTTGCCCGTCCGCCTTTACAAGGCCTCGTACGTTGCCCTTCACAGTGTCCTGTACGTCATCGGAGGCTTGACCACCAACACAGAGCACAGCCAGGTCCGTAGGACTGTCTACACTCTGTCCCTCAAGACCAACCAGTGGAGAACGGCGGAGCCAATGCTGGAGCCGCGCTTTGCTCACCAGAGTGTCTCCTACCTGCACTTCATCTTTGTCCTGGGTGGACTTGGGCCTGACAGATGCATCACAGACAAAGTAGAGAGGTGAGATTGTGGGATTGCTATTATTGGTTTCACCCACACAAATAATAATGGTTTTAATTAGGAATGTCCGATATTAACTTTTTGCCGATATCTGATAAACATTTGGCGAAACCCAAGCATTGCAAATGAAAAAAACGAGATCCCATGTCACCGCAACATCCTGGTCTCCAGCAGCCCCTACTTCAGGGCCATGTTCTGCAACAACTTCAGAGAGAGGGAGCAGACCAGGGTTGACCTGAAGGGCGTCACCTCCACCATCCTCAGCTACATCATTGACTATGTGTACACTGGACTCATTAGTATCAGCATAGACATTGTGCTTCCTCTGATGGAGGCCGCATCCATGCTGCAGTACGGCCGTCTTTTTGAGGCCTGTTCCACTTTCCTCCAGGGTCAGCTGAGCCCGGACAACTGTCTGAGTATGATAAGACTCTCTGAGATCATGAACTGCAACAGTCTGCAAGGCAAGGCAAAGGAGATGGCCATGAAGAGCTTTTCAGACGTGTCAACCTCTGAGGACCTGTGTGAGCTCTCCTTACCCGAGCTCCTCAGATACCTGGAGGACGATGCTCTTTGTGCAGAGGAGGAGCAGGTCTTTGAGACACTCGTTGCTTGGATCCATCACGATCCTTTAGCCAGACGCGGCGCTATATGTGACCTTTTCAGAAAAGTTCGCCTTCGACACATTCACCCCACCTACCTCTTCCAGTTCATAGCCAGTGATCCTCTGATCCAGTCTTCCACTCTCTGCACTGAACTTATTGACTGTGTGAGACGCCTCATGTTTTCTGTCAACACAAAGTGCATCGATGACACCGCAGTTGACTTCAAACCTCTTTGGGTGGCACCACGGAGATACACCTGCAGTGACATGTTGGTGGTGGTGGGTGGGAGAAAGAACAACGAACAGACCTCCAGAGATGCCCTGGTCTACAGTGAAAACAGCCAGACGTGGCAGTGGCTGGCCAAGTTGCCCGTCCGCCTTTACAAGGCCTCGTACGTTGCCCTTCACAGTGTCCTGTACGTCATCGGAGGCTTGACCACCAACACAGAGCAAAGCCAGGTCCGTAGGACTGTCTACACTCTGTCCCTCAAGACCAACCAGTGGAGAACGGCGGAGCCAATGCTGGAGCCGCGCTTTGCTCACCAGAGTGTCTCCTACCTGCACTTCATCTTTGTCCTGGGTGGACTTGGGCCTGACAGATGCATCACAGACAAAGTAGAGAGGTGAGATTGTGGGATTGCTATTATTGGTTTCACCCACACAAATAATAATGGTTTTAATTAGGAATGTCCGATATTAACTTTTTGCCGATATCTGATAAACATTTGGCGAAACCCAAGCATTGCAAATGAAAAAAACAATGACAATTCTTACAGATATTACATAATATGCCCATATTATCTGACATCCCTAGTTTTAATACATTCTACAACCTTCATCCAGGTTCAACAGCATGTTTAATCAGTGGGAGTCCATTGCGCCGATGCCTGTGGCTACGCTGCACCCAGCAGTGGCTGCAACCAACCAGCGCATCTACATGTTTGGTGGAGAAGACCGTATGCAGTACCCTGTCCGATTAATACAAGTAAGACACAAAGACCTTCACTTGGTCTGTCGGTTCTCAATGGACTGTTTCATTCATTCCTTCAGTCGTTCAGTCATTCACAGCTCCTACGCTCTGCTAGGTTTATCACATCGCCAGGAACACGTGGTATAAGATGGAGAACCGAACTGTGAAGAACGTGTCTGCTCCAGCCGCTGTCTTGGATGATAAAATCTACGTTATAGGAGGTAAACGTCAACATGTTACTGATAAACAGAACCGTGGGATGAGAACTGTTTAGATTAACATCCATGTTGTTATCGCCCGGTTACAGGGTACACCAGGAGAGTGATTGCCTACGACACCAAGGCCAATCGGTTTATCAAGTGTGCCAACCTGAAGGAGAGGAGGATGCACCATTCTGCCACTGTTCTCAATAACAGACTCTACATCACAGGGGGACGTTACATCACCGGCTTTGACGTCATAGAGGACTCGGCAAATTTCGAGTGCTACGATCCAAAGACAGACTCTTGGACCTCTCAGGGGACACTGCCATACAAACTGTTTGACCACGGGTCCCTGACTCTGACATGTGTCTCACAGACATGGGCAAAATCGTGATGGACGCAGAAGAGAAAGGACAGAATATTGATTTTTTTTTTTTTAAGTTGAAATGATTTACTCACATTAGAGTTACATAGACTTTACTGGAACATAGGATTTATACTTTTATACTAATTTTTAAATTGTTTTTATAATTTAATACTTTTTATAAGGGACAGGTCACCTATGCTAGATTTCTTTTCAACCCATCTGAATTTAAAAAAGGCTGAAAGTGCTACTTTCAGCCTGTGTGTAACCTCAATCATGAGATTTAACTTTGAACATGTGTGGAATGTCGTGTTCGGGCCCAAGTGAAATCTCAGCTGAGACTGGACCTGCTGCCACGTCTGGTGGTAAAACGCTGTATCAACTGATTCAAAATGTGAAATAACAAAAGTTGTCATTAGATTCAATACATAAATCTTTGGAACACTGAGCTCTCTTTGACATCTCTGTGTCTCTACTGGAAGTGTGAATAATGATTGAACTTTGACCTTATATGTGGCTTCATTTACTGCATGTTTATGAAGTGATTTTTACATGGTTTCTTATGTTTTTGTACTTGTGCTTTTTCCTGTAATAAAAACTAAATCATTACCATGTGTTCTGTCTACATCCTACTGTTCGGACAAATGGTTCCAACCTTTAAGTGCCATCTGAGCAGCACGTGTGTGAGCATGCACCAGTAACTTGAGCCAATCACATGGAACGAGTCCAATGGGTTTAGACACAGTGAAAACTACCTGTTGAATTAAAAGTATAAGAACGGGGAAGAATTTGTTTTAAGGCTAGTTTGAAATATATTAAATATTGCAAAAACTATGTTATCAATTACATTAGCACATTAAAAAAATAAAAATTAAAGTAGGTCATCAGAGCCTGAAAAACTTTGATAAAATAACCAGAGCTCGAACCTAAGAACATGTCCATTTCAACATCCATAAATCTCTGTTCAGTTCATTCTGAAGCTCAGGTTAGAACTTCAGCAGCTGATGTTGTTGACTGATTGCTATGACATTAGCTGATAAGAAATCTACATTAAATTAGTTGCTCTATTATAACTGATAAAAAAAATGCAATAACAGGAGGTCAAAATATTTCCTGTGACCTTAATGAGCCACACAGGTCATGCCTGTACATTAAATATACATTTTCTACATAAAATTGAAAATATGTAAAATGTATCCATCATAACAAACTGTATCTACCAACATCAACAGAATAGTGTTATTTTCAGGCTACAGTAAAGTACAGTCTCAAAAATAAGATTTTCTCCAAAACAAGACCCATCTTTTTAACTGCATGTAAAAAGCTTAATGAAAAGCTATTGTAAATGGTTACATGCAAAATAAAAGCAATGTTCATAAACATTATAAACCTCCTATTAACAAATAGCCAGTCAACGTGGAGACAACGCCGCAACGTTTGAGAAATCTGCGTGACCTCTATATGTGGAGTAAACATGATGTGACTACGCAGTTGTACACAGGAGACAACATGTGCACTTCCCTGAAACCGGGAATTGGTGGATCAGATTTTTCAGTCGTCACCGCCAGCGAATGGAGTTGAGACTACGCTGGGTGGAGTGGGAAAAATGGTGGGGAGCAGGAGAAACACTGAAGTGTTTAGGTGATCTGATGTTATTCTGAGAAACAAACAAATGTTGCACCACGTGAGGCATGTGGTCCTGATGGTTGCTACACAAGCTGGCAGATGTAAGAGATGACCAGAGGGACAGAGAGAGAGAGAGAGAGAGAGAGAGGGAGAGAAACTGATGAACATGATTTCACAACACAGAACCTGAGCGAGTGATGAAACGTCCAGAAGAAACAGCAACAGGTGTGTCTGAGAGTGACTGTGGTGTGTGTGTGTGTGTGTGTGTCATTAGGGTCTTTACAGGGTTGAGCTGTACTGACCAGCTGTCACAGCTAGTCACAACATCCCAACAAGAACAGGGAGGATAGGCAGAGGAAGACGATCCACTGATGACCTTTAGTATAATTTCTCAATGTATGAAATAGGAGATATTTATTCTGGTTACATACTCAATACATTTTATGTACTGTAAACTGATATTCTTTTAGTTAGCACACGTCCACAGCTATATTAGCTATACAGTCAAATGTTTGGCCGGAATCAGATTCATCATTTTTTGCTTGAAATGCTCTAAATAAAAGGAAGTTCTCTAGTGTAATTTTTAACAAACTTATAGTGCAATTTAGGGTGCAGTACCACACTTAACCACTAGTTTAAGATTATTGATTCCTCTCGTTAAAATTATCCTAAAAAGCCTCCTTTTGAATTGTTCTCATCTTCACGTGCTGCCACAATGTAAATGGTCGATTCAAAAGATTTATCCTGATTTTTTTCAGTAGGTGTGGCTGAGATATGATAAGATGATAAAGTCACCAAATGGTGTTTAGACATTTTCAGAAAAGTCCAGGAGGTTAAAAATGCAGAATGATTCAAAGATTATGCAGCATAATAGTAGAAATAAAGAGCATAAAGTAGAAAGAATAAAGAGTGGGCACAGACTCTTTAAAGGTTTGAAATTAAACAAGATAAGAGGAAGTAGTTGTAGATTTCAAAGAAGTAGAGCTGACTCTCATTTATTCTACCACGGAATATTTTGGGAGAATAGAAAATTATTAATACTTTAAAAAAACGACTCAAAAGAATTTAGTCTGTAATGAGCTTAATAGATGACAAATTGACACCAGAGAACGTATGGCACGCAGCATGAGTCTTAGAAATAAGCCTTATCGCTAACAAGTGAATAATCAAAGTTAACATGGCTACTTACTAACAAACTAAGTACTTAGTTTAGTTAGTTAGTTGATTGAAGATATGTCACCAGGCATATTAGTACCGTCCATCACAGACTTTCTCATCCGTATGTGAGCTTTCTTAAGAACGGCCAGCTAAGCTAACACAGAGCAAACTTCTAATTCATTACTGTTTATGTTTTTGTGACATCTCTGACATCACTGCAGCTTCGTTCTGAGTCAGCCTGACCAACTGACCAAACATTCTCTGGGACTTTCCATGTCATCCTGTACTTTGGCCAACTCTAGAAATAGATGTAGACAAATACACAAAGCCATCAAAGACTCACAATACACTTCTCAATGCTGTAGAGCCCACTTCCTGTATTTGACATTACAACAAGTATCATTTCAACTGTTCTGCACATACGACACAGGGCTACATGTGGTTAAACAAACAGGGAAGAGTCAAACCTCTCTGGTGCGTCACAGTGCGCAAGTCATGATCAATACCTCTGTTGAAAATATATCTGTAGGTTTTTATTTCTGACATGCTGTCATGTAACAAAGTTGACACATTTTAACACATGGTGAGTGTGCAGAGCTCCTTGACCTTTTGCTTATATCAGGCAGTAGCATTAAACCCCCAGAAGCTGGAGCAACACGTGCACCTGTTTTCAAAAATGTACCATCTCTGGGATGGGAGTGAGCAACAGAAAGTGTTTTTAAAGCATTTTTTTTAAAAAGCAGCTTTGTTTGACTATTGAACAGAACTGAGATCAGAGACTTAAAGAAGAAACAAAATGTCAACTTTCTACCTCTAGGAGAGTCTGTGTGAGCACACAAACACTGTTAGCCACATCAGTGAACCTGATCATGCTTCACTCACATGATGGTTCTCGTTATAGATAGCAGCGTGTTTCTGCTCCTGTTGTAAACCATGTGCTGCTGCTGCTGCTACTGCTGACATGTTTTGCTGTTTGTATTTCGTGTCATAAATTATGAGGACAATCCCCCTGTCTCAAACCTTTTCACTCCCTCCTCCTCCTCTTCACACTGTAGACACACACATGGATATTGATGCACACCTGTATAGATAGCCACTGATACAAACTGCTGAAGCACCACGGTGGGAACAAACACAAAAACAAAGTATTCCTCTCTGAAGGAAGTGGACTTTGACAGGTCACACATCAACAACTCCCAATGGTGGTGTTAATGATAAGGTCACTTCCTCATTAATCCCTTTGTTTTGACTGTGACCGGACCAACATTCAGTACAGTACTACTCTTCGTTCAATGTTAGACAACAACTATCAAAGCATTTAGACATTTTAACCAACGTCCTGCTTCCTGATGGTGCATTACAACTGCTCTGACGAGAGCTGCTGAGGACATAAACAAACATATATAAATCTGTAATGGACGCTTAACAGCCAGAACAGCTGAGTGTGTAAATATGTCATGTGTTTAACGAAGCTGATAAGATGTGACCCAGTGGCCCGGACAGACTTAGTTACACATTATCAAGGACTCAAAACAAACAACAGCCTCGCCACCATTCATCACAGTTGAACTGGCAGTGTTTTGAGAAAAGTGAAACACAACTGAACTACAAAGAACTGCCTCCAGTTCAGACACACGCACACATGCACATTCCCACACACACCAAACATTCCCACACAAAGGAACCTCAAGGACAAATTCAGCTATTTATAAAGAGACTCCTCGTTGTGACTGGGAACCACAAGACTTTACAGACATGTTACGTAATTTTTCTTTATATTCAAACACTAAAATGTTAATGATTAATGACTAAAATGTTTACTCCGATTATTCCTGTGGTAGCTGTGGATTAATTCGGATTAATCATGACTAATCGTGATTGTTATTAATCAACTTTAACTGTGGTTAATAGAGATAATAAAGTTATATTTATAATCAAATCAAATGTATCAGTACTAAATTTGCAGAGGGAGGTGACATTGTGTTAGCCTAGAAATGTGTTGTCAGCTTTCACATTTATTTTAATAAGGGCAAGTATGTAACAATAATGATGATTATTCATCAGAGAGCACTTTTGAAGAATAGTATTACTACTGCTATAGCTGTAAGCAGCACTGAGGTCACCTGACCCTGTCTAATACACAACAGGTGAGTTCACAGGTGAGTTACACACATGTGTGATTTTTGGATAATTGCCCAACGTATGTTGATACACTAGCGTAATAAATTTTGTTTATAAATGTTGGTAAATAGCTTTAACATTTTCTACCCGGGCTAAATCTTTTTATTCTTATTCGGTAAGATGTGGGATTGATAAAATATTGTCTTATTATATTTATTTATTTTGCAAATGCAAAGGGTTATTTGTATAAAGTAAACCAGAGTAACATGACCGGAGTACATTACATTACCAGCCGGTCACAGCATGGATATGCTTATGTAACATTAACAGAGCAGCTTAAAACGTGCTTAATACTTGATCTGGAGGTAAAGTAGAATATATATTTACCGTTCTTCAATTCAGTTGTCTTGAAGTTTGTTTGTTTGGTTGTTTGAATGGCATGGACAAACATTTCCGTCCTCCTCTACTTCCCCCTGCAGCAGATTTTGCAACGCCTCGGTTGATAAACAAAGCCACGTGCTGCAGGGAAGTTTCCGAGGTGGGCGGAGCTTCTGTACTTCCGGGTTCTAGTCTAGAACATATATAAAGGAGCTGCGCAGTGACAACAACAGAAGACACACTGACAAGACAAAGGGTACCGAGGACAGAAGACACTTCTAACAACACCACAGACACTTTCCGGCTATTTTTCTCGGAACTTAGGTCCTTTTAACTCAAAGACATCGAGAGAAGATGCCGTTTCTTGGTCAGGACTGGAGGTCACCTGGTCAGAGTTGGGTAAAAACCGAGGAGGGATGGAAGAAGACAACAGAAGAGGACACAAACAACAACGTCTCCGTGGAGAGGTCGGTCGTTAAAACATGTCCTGTTGACTGAAATAAGGCCTGACAGTCGTTTACCAAATAATGTGTCCGTGCATCGAGGTAGATGCAACACAAAAAGATACGATTACAGAGCGTAACATTTTCTTAAAACTCAAAACAAGTACAGTAATAGCTCAAATAAACTCTTAATGTTCTGGATGTGTCAAGAGAAACCCTTTAAAATGGTGTAGGGTATTAAAAATATGTTTGAGAAAGTAGCGAACGAACGTAACTAAGAATTATTAAACATAAAATAAGATAAACATCATCCTGGTACTGTGACTCTGGTACTTAATTTGAAAGCATCGTATCCTTGGTCACAATTTGAATTTGTAAATCAGTTGACTCGACTTTGTTTTCAGGAAAAGAAAGGAAAGTCAAGACAAACATTTAGCTTCTTTCCATCCCACTAACCTCAATGTTTTTCTGAGGCCGTGTTCCTTCTATCGGTTAATCACTGAGCTAATAATAACCCCAAGACAAGTGAGTGGATTAACTAACATCTGTGCGGCCTTTCCACCGTGACTACACGCAACACGTCTACATTTGACCTGGCCTAAGAATACACTTTAGACACTTTTTATCCATCAGAAGTGGTAAAGTCCTGCTTTATAATGATGATATTTATATTTATAATAATGGGTTGTTTTTGTTGGTTCCAGCTTCTGTAAAGTCAAAGAGGAGGATTGTATCAATAGAGAGAACCTTCTGTTTTCTCTCAACTATGACATGGCTGCCAAGAAGAGGAAAAAGGACCTGATGAATAACAACAGCAAGCTCCCCTGTGAGTTACCTTTTAGATATTAATTATTTTCTTATGATTTCTAATTAAATATGAACTTGTACAAATGTGTACACCCTTGGTCACATGGCTTGGATGTTAACAGGTTGGACATTAACAACCTGTTTTGTTAATTATGTTCCAATAACTATTATCATAATGTAGGTATTCTGCTTTCTTACAGATTTCTACAGAGAAAAGTGGATTTACGTTCATAAAGGAAGCACCAAGGAGGTAACAAACAATCTCACTTTCATGTGATCTTTTTGTGTTATCAGTGCTAATGTAAACACTCTGAACTCTATACTCCGGCGGAGGATCGCAATCTAATACCCTTATAATTAATTTCTCCCAGCGCCACGGATATTGCACACTGGGAGAGGCCTTTAACCGCTTAGATTTCTGCAGCGCCATCAAGGACACCAGGAGATTTAATTACATTGTCAGGGTGAGTCCACGTGTCTTTGTTTGTTTCCACTTTCTTATGTCTCTCTCTCTTTGTTTCTGCATGCTTACTTATGTATATTTTTGCGTGTAACATAGACACTGTAGGCCTTTAAGTTCAGAGGGTGTGTTGGTTTCTGCCAGGCTCTTATCACTGCTCTACAGACAAGAGTCTAAAAGTGGTGATGACACTGGGATGGTTCTCGTAAAACAGAACTGTGTTAAAATATGTTACTGTTTCAAAGCCATTTGCTGTGTATTTACTACACAAAAATGAAAGTATGTCTCCACTAAGCCAAGAAATTAATGTAACAAACTGTAATCCTCTATAAAAATGTCTTGTTTAATGGAATGCATTATAATATTATTATTATTATCCTAACTAAGATATCATTATTCCAGTGGTGTAATTGGGATTATTTGGATAATCATTGAGGCAATTTGAGTCTTTTATTTGTTGTTGCATTTTTTTTTTTCAATACTCTAAACTGAGCTGAAGCACTTCCACATGTGCTCCCATGTGAGTCAGTCAACTGTTGGGGGGGGGGTTATTATTATTATTATCCTAACTAAGATATCATTATTCCAGTGGTGTAATTGGGATTATTTGGATAATCATTGAGGCAATTTGAGTCTTTTATTTGTTGTTGCATTTTTTTTTTTTCAATACTCTAAACTGAGCTGAAGCACTTCCACATGTGCTCCCATGTGAGTCAGTCAACTGTTGGGGGGGGTGGGGGGGGTGCACAGAGCGGGTTGACAGCTGTTTAGTTAACAGAGTTAGAAACTGTGGTTATTATTATGTGTGTCAGACAACAAACGACTCATTTCCACATGTGTTGTCTTAATGAAATATGTTACATAGTCCATGTCAGCCTTAGTTAAAAAAGAGATAAAGTCACCTTCTATTTTTTGGGCAGAACAGTTGTTCTGTGGGCGGGTTGTGTTTTGGTGGTTTATTTGTCACAAAACCAACATTTAAACAAGTCAACTTTGACTCTCTTCCCAAAATTATTAGACATTTCTTTTTTTTTTCTTTTTTTTATTGAACTTTTGCATTGACCTCTTGGGTGCTAGTTGAGCCCGTAGAATAATAGGACTCTGTAACACAAGTGTGTAGTCTGGACATTACATCCCAGGTCACTGCATCTCACTGGCTGTCTGAGAGCATTTGGAGGTACAATAAACCTGGTCTCAATTACAAGGATCAGGTTCTATAAATAAAAGACAACCAATAGTGCTCTCTCTTTTTATCTCCCTCACTCCCCTTTTCTCTCTCTCTCTCTCTCTCTCTCTCTCTCTTTCTTTGCATTTCTATAAAGCAATTGAATGGAGGTTATTTCAAGGTGCCCAAAATATTTATAAATATATATATAAAATATTATACTTTTTCATGTGAACACAATCATTATCATTTCTGTTGCTGTTTTTTTTTTTTGTTTTCTTTTGTCCCTTAAGAATCACATAAGAGTAGAGGATGCAAGTAGAAATGTACAATGCTCAGTGCAACTGCTCAACAAAGACAGCAACCTGATTAGGAGCTCAAAGAACACTTTAGGATTTGTTTTCTAAATAGAACAGGAAAAAGGAAGATGCAGAGACGGGGTCTGGTCAGAGCTCTGTGTTTGCACACATGGGGATGTGGAGGGGAATCAAAAGCAATCACATGCTAATGTTTAGCCTGGAGCTCTGTAAATAAGAATCTCCTAAAGTTTTAATGAACCACTTTTGTGATCATAAAAGTATGAACTCAGCACAACTTACAGTCTGGGACATCACTCTGAGTTTACCACAAAGCCCCTCAGATGCTGTTGATGTTGATCCAATGACAAAGATCACATGCTTGGGTCAGAATTGGGCAATGGTCAACTACAGTTTCTCCATGATGTCACAGCATCTGTTACATGCCTTTCATGCCACCCCAGAACCCACTATTCATCCTTTAGCCAATGGCAACAACCGACCAGACATACAAGAACACAGACAGGCATTCTCCCAGGGACACACAAGGCCAAACACGCGCGCGCACACACACACACACACACACACACACATTTGTGTGTGAATGATTCAGCTAATTCACATGATGATGAGTATCAGAAGTCAAATGATTAAAGGCTTGTTTGTGGAGACTGATGGAGTTGACAGATCAGGCTTTGGTCCAGCACCGTTCCAGTATCTCCTTCCCCCAAAGAGGCTCAAGAAAGATCAGAGCCAAGAATGCTGTTTAATGCTCACTGGATCCAGCTTCACTTTAGAGTAATGATCAGGTGGAGCAGTTCCAGATTTGTTCCAGCATTTTTCCTCAGGACCACGAGTGTTCTTTTTAAAGAATGCGGCATAGCAATCATTAAGTAAAGAGGCAACAGAACAGAGAGTCTCTACACGTGACAGTACGAAATTAATGCTGTTTGTTTCTCACTAGCTCTTTTTTCTTTCTTTTTTTTTGCTTTCTTCTTCAGCTTCTGGAGCTTATCGCCAAGTCCCAGCTCCCCTCGCTCAGCGGTGTGGCACAGAAGAATTACATGAACATCCTGGAGAGAGTGGTACAGAAAGGTGAGCTGAGCTGTCACTCTATCATAAGTTCTCATTATGTCTTTTTTTGGTCTTTTGGTTGATTTTTCTACTCAACCATTCTCTTGCATTAGATGAACTATAAAACTATAACTTCTGAATGTGTCCTGATGTATTCGTATATTAATTTGTATTGTTTTCATATGAACCATTAATTATTAAAGCAGAAATAAAGCCTTCCTGCTTTGTTGTTTGCAACATTAGGTGAGGAAATGGCCTCTGACAACATCTAGAGAAGGAGAAGTGAATTTAAGGCTTTAATAGCTCAGTGAAAAACCCCAGATCCCTCTACTACAGTGTAAACTAAATGTTCCCTCTATTAGTATCAAATTGTTTAGGTCCTGCTATGAAAACCAGTCTGCCAAATATTATGTGTCACAGCCGCAGGGCCACGCCAAAACTTTAGTTTTGTTGATTCTCAGTAAATGTTTTTGTTGTTTGGCTGCTGTTTTTGTTGCTGTTGATCTCTAACAAACCAAACTGAACTATGTTTGAAACCTCCCATTTATGTACTTCAAACAACTCAACAACAGTTTATGTTTTGCTGCTGCAGTGCTCGATGACCAGCAGAACGTCCGTCCGATTAAAGAGCTGCTGCAGACCCTCTACGTCTCACTGTGCACTCTGGTTCAGGACATGGGCAAGTCGGTTCTGGTGGGCAACATTAATACCTGGGTGCACCGCATGGAAAACATTCTGCAGTGGCAGCAGCAGCTGGATAACATCCAGATTAACAGAGTAAGGCCAGACGCTGCTCACAAGAGCATATAAAAGTGCTTTAAAAGTTTCTGTCTTTTTTTTGTAAATTAAAAACGTTTTTTTCCTCTTTTCTTCCCTGCAGCCTGCATCTACAGGTATTGATCTGACTGACCTGCCTCCAAGTCTGCAACTCAACATTATGCAACGACTTTCAGACGGCAGAGACCTGGTGAGCCTGGGCCAAGTGTGTCCTGAACTGGGGTACCTGACTGAGGACAGGCTGCTGTGGAAAAATTTGTGCCAGTATCACTTCACAGATAGACAGGTATGTTGACTTTAACAGAGTAAATCCCATAGGTGTCACTGCTGTGCTCACTGATGCTCCACAATGTAATTTCTGCAACAAGGTCAAGTATCTGTGATAAGTATGACCTGCTGCTGGTCATTGGCAGGTCTCAACCTGTCACTGTGGTAACTTTGCAACATGGACAGAAGCAGGCACTTGACAAGTGAGAGGATACGGTCTCTATGTAGGTTACATACATAAGTTTCCTGCTACACAACTAAGTAACATTAAAATATTTGCAGGTTTCAACACAGCATTTTAAAGTCACTCAGCAATCAGGAGCTTGAAGTTTTTAGACATTGTTTTCCATCACTTTTAACAGCTCTTGGCATATTATTTTGAGAATATTTGAGAATTTAAAATGGTAGTCCACTGTATTTGTAATGTCAAACAAGGTGAATATAACACTTGTTTTCTTTCTTTACACACTTTGCACATTGATGAGGTGTGTAAGAGTGAAGTTTTTTTTTCTTTATCTCAAAATCTCACGTCTGTTTTTCCTTTTCTATAGATCAGAAAGCGTCTCATGTTGTCAGACAAGGGTCACCTGGAGTGGAAAAAGATGTACTTCAAGCTGAGCCGCTGCTACCCACAGAGAGAGCAATACAGCGACACCCTGCACTTTTGCACACACTGTCACATCCTCTTCTGGAAGGTAGGCAGTGCACTTGACACCAGTGTACGCTGAACTAACAGGTTGCAGTTAGTGAAGTGGAAAATGAAAAGGCAAGTGTTGATATTGAAAGTTCTTCTTCTCTCTGTTCAGGACACAAACCATCCCTGCACAGCCAACAACCCAGACACTTGCACCTCATCCCTCTCCCCCCAGGACTTTATCAACCTTTTCAACTTCTGATTTCACCCCAAATCATCATGAACAGTCTGTAGATAATGTACATAAAAATATGTTCCATAATGTGTTTATTTCACAGCACCGTCATTTTCTTGATCTCAGCTGAGGTGGAGGTCTTGTTATGTTTATATATATATTTTAATGGAGAAAGGTTTGTGGTGAGGTGCACTGTTGTGAGTGAATGTGACTCAAAGGGAAAATGTAGGTCGAGCACTTTGCTGGTGAGGAAAGCAGATGAAAAAGGGAAAGTGTTTTGTCTTTATTCTAGATTAGGAATGTTAGATTAAAGTTAGGTTGTTTTTTTTTATGGGATGACAAAGATATTTGGCTGTGTGAGATGTGGAAGTAGAATAAGGGGGATGAACTATATCTTGAAAGACATCATGGGTTGACAGGTTGGTGGATATTTATTAGTATTAGTGATGTGATGTCTAGACATGCGTCATCTTTTATATTTTTTGTTCTTTTTCACTTTTATAAGATTTTTTTATAGTGTTATTCTCAAACATGGGTGCAGTATTACCAAAGATTGTTACCAATGACGTCAATATTAGTGTTGTGTGCCTTATTGTGAAACTTGAAAACTGGTACGGCTTAATCCACACTTACAATCCTGATGCTATTAGAATTTCACACTTTATTTTTTAAATCTAAAACGCTGATACCAAAGTTTTTCTTCTGAGTCCTTGTTTTTCTGTGGCGTTATGCATGAGTTTTAAAATCACTTGGCTCATCTTGTTTACATTTTTTATAACTTATTGAGACTCTGGCAAGTGTTTAACTCGCTCCACTGGGCTTGAAGGATGACACTTTGCTTTTCACTGCTCACAGTGAGGAACTATTTACATGCTGTGCAATGCAATGTGATTCTGTTCTGTTGAATAAATGAAATATTTTAAGTCTGTGTGTCTATTATTGTCTCCAAAGCTTTGCTGTGGTTTTTCTGTTCTTGACAGGAGACACATTCCCTCTGCTGGATGGACGTTGAACTGCAAGTTATTATTAGGAAAAAAATCCCCTCGTGTGTAAATGACATTTTAGAACTTCAGGTTAGATGGATGACGTAATACTGGTGGTGAAATCATATGCAACACTAGAACACAGGAAATCATCAACATCTTATCTCTTTTATAGAACAGAGTGTAGTCGTCTTAGTGTCTGACTTTGAAAAACAACCATGGTGACATCAAAATTTCCTCCAGTTTTATTGTTACAGCAGAACAAAGGCTGAAATAAACCTTTCAAGCAAATTAAACTTTTTTTTTTACAAACAAATGTCATAATTCATGATAAAAATGTGGGTTTACAGAACTTCCCTGATTTAGGAATTGGGTGACATTTGGAAGTGTGTCACAGGAGAAAAACAACAATTTGTTTTTACTGCAAAAATATACAGGCATTGATGTGGAGGCTTAGAAAAAGGTAGTTCTGACCATTCCCCTCACCTTCATCAGCAGGCAAGTTACAGATATGCTGGTTTTAATGGCACACTCTCCATCAACTTCAAGTCAACACGGAGGAGGTGAATCAGTTTTCTACCACGGACAATGATAAACAACACCATTGAGAGCAAAATAAGCCACTAATGCAACTACTGCTTGGTTCTGCAATCAAGTTCCTTCTTTGTATTTGTGTCATGCAAACATTTCCCCTAAACTTTATGCCTCTTAAAACACAGTAAGCACCTGCAGCTGTTTTTAATTGCACTCATTAATGCAGAAATCTGTTTGACAGGACATAAAAAATAATTTGTAAAAATAAACTTGTGAATTTAATTGCATATTATGTTATAGTGGATAAAGGCTCAAAGTAAACTTTGGGTGTTAATAAATAGTCTAAGCAGAGAAATTGCTACCTAAAGTCCATATCCTGCTGACTGGAAGATAAAATTTGAGATTAGAATCACCGGGTGGAGCAGATGACATTTAATGTGATTATTGAAAAGAACCAATCTCGGCCTCTCCACTTTATAACAGTTATCTTGAAAACAGCCATTAAAACTCACTCTGAACATGTCCATGCTCATTCATTTTGGCAGAGTTCCTTTCTGCGTGGACTTCCAGTGTTTGTGTTACTGTAGGGGGGTGGTGTGTGGCTCCAGACAGTTTTGGGTTTTCGATTGACTTTCTGCATGGTAACTGAAGTACTTGAAGATCCTCTGTGGTTGGTAAGGATCATCCGGAGAGAGCTGTTGTCGCTGTAGCTGTGCACCTGTCGATGAAAACAATCACAAAGCATCAGAGGATGGATACAGTTACACAACCATTTTCGTCCGAAAACCGCCAGGATAAAGAAACGAAGGTGACATGCAAAGAGTTACCAGAGTTAGTAAACATCACAGAGAGGTACGTTCTCTCGTTCAGAGTTCTGAATAATCCACTCAATGGCATCCCAACCCTACAGATTTACACAGAGAGACAGGGCATTTAAACAGACAGTGAAATGAGCCAAGAGATAGTTCACAGATAGATCAGACATGCAAAGAGACCGTCAGTGATATCTGTGTTGCTTTTATGACATGCAAATAAAACATGAGTGTGTAAGTAGAAATGTGACATCACGCTACCTTCCTGGCATTGGCTGACATTCTCCTGGCCATCATCCCCTCCAGGTAACTGCTCAGACTGACTCCTTTAACTCTGATGATGGCCTCCTGTGTCAGGACGGTGCTGAGACACCAGTGAGCAGGAGAGGAAATGTGAATCTGTGTAATACTGTGGTTACCTTCACTGTAAGCCTAGAAATCGAAGTACTTACACATCAGGGTTGTCTGGGTGTGGGCTATACACAAGCCTCTCGTCCACTGATATGAGGTTGGTGAGAGTGATCTAGAAGACAAATAACATATGCAAAATATTTAGTTTTAATAAGACAATGTTTATTCACATCTGAGTCAAAGAGAGAAACAACGATAACATACATTCGTGGAGCACAACTCCATCTTCTTCTCCTCCGGGTCCACTATAGAGTGTTCCTTCACGTAGGTTTGTGTATGACTGGTACCCAGTATCTGCAAACAGGTCATGCAAAACCATCAATGTCATTGATGTCATCACTTGTGCAGGTAGCACGTACAAATTGCCGAAACTCTTCCAACCTCACAGGCATAATAGGTCAAATACGAACATTTTTATTATTGTTTATCTCTGTGCGTACAAGTATCATATCGACTGATACCAACAACTCTTCAAGAAATTCCGTGCACACCTTAGGGGTTGTGGACCACATGTTGAAATACTATTAGTGTATGTGTGTTTATTACTGACCGCTCGTACGATGCTTGGTAGACCCCACTCTGTGCTGAGCAGTCTGTGACTGTGCAGACGTCCTTGAGCGTCTAGGTTGCGGTCTAGCACATCCACTCCGACAACATTAGTGTTCATGGGGTTGGGGTACTTTCTCATCGCAGCCTTTATCACTGTCTCCCATGGGTAACTACAAACAGAAGAAAAAACGTTCCACAGTCTGCAACAAAACTATGGACAAACATTATTTGTCTCTCCACCAATCAGATCATTTACAAGGGTTATGATATATTTACCACTGAGAATAAATGAACATTATTGTAACACCTAAAACCATTGTTTAACTTTATAATCAGGCTGAGGTTCTCAGTGACCTTGTCAATATTTACAAATATTGATTACATTTATGACTATTATATTTATAAGAGATGTATCATGACTGACCTGAAAGCATGCTCCGTGCTCCAAATCCTCATTTTATTTATCCAAAATAATCCAACACACTCCTATGTCTCATCGAACCATCTTGGCGTGAGACTGCGGCTGCAGTGATGTCAGGATGAGGCCTGTGAGGATGGTAGACCACCACCATCAGTGGAGTCAGTCCACTGCACGCATCTCTGATCTTCTCCACATTTCAACCTCAACTGTACAAAAACGCTCTGGTCCGGCCGTAAAAGTCGTACAACTGATCCCGGCATAAGAAACGATGAACGTAGATTTACTAAATGCACCAAACAAATCGGTGCCTTCAAATAGAGAAATGGCCAGAGGAAAGCCGGTGCAGTGACGGGGACAGAGGCGTCGAGTTGCAGTGAGTGCGACAATGAGATACAGGATCGCGGTAAAAAATTTCAAAATAAGAGACTTTGTTCATCCTTTCAAATCGTTGATTGATTCTTAAGATAACATTTGGTGACCAGTGTTGATCGGTGTTAATATAACGTTTTATCAAGTGCAGTAAATCAAAAGAAAATTCCTCAATCACATTACTCTAGATCACATGTGTCAAACTCAAGGCCCGGGGGCCAAATGCGGCCCGCCAAGCCGTTTTGTGTGGCCTGCGGGAGCTTAAAAAGCATTTAGTAAAGTCCATGCAGCAGAGTTTCTTAACCTGAGAAATTAAACTTTTTCTTTTTATTACACAGAAATGAACAATATTTGTAGTTTTTCACTGTGTCCCACCAAATTACCTATGGACTGGTACTGGTCCACGGACCGGGGGTTGGGAACCCTTCAAGGGGAACTGTATTGCTGATTTGGCCCCCGGTGAAAATGAGTTTTGACACCCCTGCTCTAGATTATCATGCTGCATTTCACGTTGTTTTTGATGCTAGTTATTTTGTTTTATTTTGAAGTCGGCGTCTTCATCTCTTTACGTATTGTCTTTTTGTGAATCTCTAACTTTACCTAACCGAAGTCTCTGCAGCTGCATCCGCCTCCATTTGCACGCATGCGCAAAGCATATTTTCATCATTTGTGTCAGCGGTAGAGGAGGATCTGTATCAAGTACCATGAAGGAGGCAGAACCAAACCGGATGTAAAATCATACTCTTATCATAATTCTCTTAATAGCAGACAAACCCATAGTCAAGGAAATTAATATTCTGTAAACAAAATGATGCACATTTAAAGTAATACACAAGGGAAAGAAGAAGACACTGTTTCCGTCTAAAAATACTAACTGAAGTTTTGAATGTAGAATTATTAAGTTTAAATATTAAATTTTTTAGAGTTATTCAACAACCTCTAGCCAAACTGTTTGATCACAGAGTGAAAAAGGTGAATATTTTAGGACAAACTACTATTATCAGATACAAACTATATTATAATTAAATAATGGGTTTGTACTAAATGATTGAAAATATTATAGAGTTTATAGATTAATTATTTGGAATCCCCCAAAAAATGTGAGTTTCCCTTTGGAATAAAATACTAAATCCTACCGATCGTATTTTAAATTTACTTAAATTTAGGTTTTATTGACCTTCCTTTATTGTGAAAGTGTTACAGGAAATCTATATTTTATTTCTGCCACCTTGACGGTGATGCTGTCGCGATTAGGGGAGAAATTCATTGAAGCAGACGCGCAGTGGAGGATTGTGTTGTCGCTCACCGGCCTTTTACACTGGAATCTAATAATTCAATCGGTCAGTATATATCCGTTTTTATTCGATAACCGAGTGAAACGATGCACATATTGTTATTTTGCACCAAAAACAATAAAATGGAGGATTGTTTTATCAAGCATCGACAGGGTAAGGTAACGAGCATCTTTAGGCGCACGGTGCAGAAGGCGAGTCTATGTAGATGATAATGAAGACCTGCGTCGTGCTTGATTTAATCGAAAGTTTAACATCGAATAAGAACGTTGTTACGGACAAGAATAGATTGAGATGTTTAAAAAAATACAACACATTATTATTAGAACTGCATTTGGAGTCCATCTGAAGGCCGGGGTGTATGCGGCAGGACGCACATTTATATGATTAAAAATAAGAATAAATGAGCTTGGCCTCATTGAAACTGTGGAATATTAAGGTAAAATTCAATTTTATAGAGCGATATATGGCTTATTCTCAGAGCATTAAATAAACAGGACGATGACAGATGCTGCAGCAGCTTCAGGCCGGGGGAGGGGAGCAGGAGGAGCAGGAAGAGGAGGAGGTGGAGAAAGAGGGGCTCCATCTTTTTAGGCTCATTAAATCACTCTGTGTCTCTTCACTATACTCACCAGTGCAAGTCTCAGTCAGGCGGCGAGTACACAACGACGCATTCCCTTGTAAAAGTAGGGCACGTAGGAAATATCTTCCCTAATTTAAGTGCCACCAAGTTGGCTGGTGGTCGTGCTGAAGCTCCAAAAATCTGCTGACACATGCGCTCTGCCGTCTGCTCCTCTGCCTTTGTGCGTGTAATGATACTGTATAGTCAATCTCAAGTGGGAACCGTCCTGAAAGATGGCTCCTCGGAGCTCAGTTTGGAGATTCACACAGATACACTGATTTCACAATATTCTAGTACAAAACAACTTGAGGTGACAATATGAGTTAGACTGTCCTTAAGTGTCTTGAGGAGGAAAACGACATAAAAAAAACCCTAGCAATATCCAGTTCATTAATGAGCAAAGTAATTATACGTTTTTTTTTTTTTTTTTTTTTGCACTATATGTGATTTTTAAGTCCTTATATCTTCACAACTTTTTCCCCTGTCTCTAAAACCAGGTACTTCACAGACACAACCATGGAGATAGTTACACATTTAATAAATGACACAGTGGAATTCTACAAATGGACTCTCACTATTGCAGGTAATCAATGAGACTTTTATAATGCCAATTCAGTTTAAATGTGTTGTGGATGTATGTGTGTAGGTATCTCATATTGCACAGAACAAATTTTCACCTTTATACAGTTGTTTTTGTGGCTATTTGTAGCTAAAAAGGATACCCAGGTTCAACGACCGTTTTTCCCTAGGAATAGAGCAAATATTTCATGTTTGTATATGTCCATGTATTTACAATGACAATACATTGACTAACTGTACTCATTGTACTACTCTAAACTAAACTATGATAAACTTTATGTATTATTATGACCTTTTGACTGATCACCTGGGAACAATAATAATCCATCATCTCCACTCGCTCAACACACATTAAGACTGTAATGCATTACAGAAAGATTATATAACATTGATGCCTGTGATGATTATATGATGAGAACTTCTGTTACACAGACAAGCGAGTGGAGAAATGGCCTCTGATGGACAACCCCCTGCCCACGCTGGCCATCAGTACCTCCTACCTGCTCTTTCTCTGGCTGGGGCCCAAATACATGAAGAACAGGGAGCCCTTCCAGCTGCGCAAAACCCTCATTGTCTACAACTTCAGCATGGTCTTCCTCAACTTCTTCATCTTTAAAGAGGTTAGTTATTTTATAATAATAAGATGATTTTTCCAGTCATGATAACGTCAACAGTTATTATCTATTTGTATCCTATTCACTTACATGTGAAGTCACTGAGGTAAGTCACTGAGGTAACTACTTGCAGTAGCAGCTTTGAACCACTGGGATCAGCGTAACCTCATTAAACTGTACACAGCCTTCAGTCTGCGCTCTCTTCCTCTCTCCTGTCAGTGTATGATTATTTATTGTGTACTAAATATTCAATGGAGATTTTTTTTATAGCTTTTCATGGCAGCACGGTCGGCGAACTACAGTTACATTTGTCAACCAGTGGATTATTCTGATGACCCCAATGAAGTCAGGGTGAGTGTTTCCAGCTTACCTCTTATAATTATTATAGCATGATTTCTGTGTTATTGAATAAAAAAGGTTCTAAAAGAAAATTATAATTGAGATCAGCTGCCACTTTTTGGACCTTTAACTGTGAAAAAGTCCGAGCTGAGTGAGCGATTGTGGCAAGTGTTCGGTTTCACCTTCCTGTTTCTCCATGACGTATATTATACACCTGACTTAGGGAACAGTCTCAGGTGACAGTTGCATTGAGGTGTTGTCCAAATGATCAGATAAGGAGAGGGAACAGTTCCCAATTCAAAGCATTTAAGCAGTTTCCCTTCCTTTGAATTTTAAGTATGACTTTTCCTTTTTTTGATCCTCTATTCCATGGCTTTGACACATCTGTCCTCACGTTTTGTATTTGTCTTTCTCATGTCTTTCTCATGTCATGTAATGTTTAACACAGGTGGCCGGAGCTCTGTGGTGGTATTTCATCTCCAAAGGTATTGAGTACCTGGACACAGTGTTCTTTATCCTGAGAAAAAAATTCAACCAGGTTACTTTCTTGCACGTTTACCACCACTGCACCATGTTCACGCTCTGGTGGATCGGCATCAAATGGGTGGCAGGAGGACAGTGTAAGTAGATTGCAGCAGCAAATTCCACTTCCACATTTTTCCAGGTTCTTAATTGCTATAGTACAAAGTGGTCCTAACATGCTTGATTTTACTTTTCTGGTCCGCAACCCACCTCTGGGTGGTGATCCAACAGTTGAGAATCACTGATTTAAGGTTTTGTGTTTGCAGCTTTCTTTGGTGCACACATGAACGCACTGATTCACGTCTTGATGTACCTGTACTATGGCCTGGCCTCCTGTGGCCCCAAGATCCAAAAGTACCTGTGGTGGAAGAAGTATTTGACCATAATCCAGATGGTAGGACATAAGTTACTCTCTAAAAACCTCCTGGTGACAGCGGAGAGGTTTATTGATTAAACAAGCCTTTGTTCTTACCTTTTGTCTCAGATTCAGTTCCATGTGACCATTGGCCACACTGCACTGTCCCTCTATGTCAACTGTGACTTCCCCCACTGGATGCACTACTCCCTTATCTGCTATGCCATCACCTTCATCGTCCTCTTCGGCAACTTCTACTACCAGACCTACCGCCGCCAGCAGCCCAAACGTGATGCGTCCTCTTCCAAAGCCGGCAAGGCCCTTTCCAACGGACCCCTGAATGGACTCAGCAAGGCCGCCAATGGAGCTGTGGTGATGGGAAGCAAAGAGGACAAGCCCCAGGAGAGCTCTGGGAGGAGAAAGAGGAAAGGAAGAGCTAAAAGAGATTAGAGGAAGATAAGTCAGACGGGTCAAGGTGAGGTAGGGCTTCGCTTTGGGTTCTTGGTTTTTAGTGATAAAAGACTTAGTTTGAGAGAAAAATTGGAAGAGTGGGTGAGCTTAAGTGTGATTTGCTTAATTTGATGTGAGGGTTTTAGATTTCTCGTGACAGACCTGTATTAAGAGAGGATCATTATGTTAGTATAAGGTGTCAAAGGTCATGCTGACGATGGCCACTTTCACAAATAACCCAAAAACGCAAAAGTGTCTGGTTACGATATATAGAGATTAGTGTTTCTTGTCTTTATTGTGGTGCCAAGTTCTGTTGGTCTGGCTTAAAAAAAAAACAGTGACATCAGCTTTGAACTGAGCGTGACACAGAAATATCAACCACAGATCTTTACCAGGCCCTGAAGACAAACTGGGAAAACTATATGAGCTGCTCGACAACAGAAAACAAACTACTGGCAAATCATTGCAGTACTGAGACAGGATACACAACATGACATACAAAAAACCCTAGTCTGCTTATATTTGAGCCTGTCATTTTTGCTCCTCTCCTGCCCTGATGTAAAACTGTTGATAATGTATCTGTTCTCCCCTGATTTCTGCTGTTGTTGATGTTACATGGTGAAGACTTCTGTTAACACACACACACACACGCGTGCACACACACTTGCAGTTTTAAACATATAGATATGTGAGAGATATGTGAGAAAGGAGTTCTTATTTATTTCATGTCATGAGAGCAGTGTGCAGATTTTCTTTTTAAAAGAAAAATAATTTAATATCAAGAAGCAAGATATTTAAACACAGAGAAATACACTTATTTCTTTCAGAGACTGGGGAAAACCAATTCTTTGCTGTTGTGAGATGAAATAATCCTAAACTGAAGCTGATGTTAGGTTAAAAATAAGTTTTAGTTTTATTCTATTTCCAACCATTATTCATTTTTTTATTCTGTATCTCTACTTGTATGTAATGTAATGATATGTAATGAATATTATTCAGAGAAATATGATGAATCTGATGATGATTTCAGTGTTTCTCACTTTGAGACAGAAGCTGGTGGAATCCTCTTTTTATATCCCTTGTTTGTCTAACATTCTGTTATAAATGTTGTTGTGCTGAACAAAGATCTGAATTTGCTGTGTGTTTGCTTACAATCATTTGCATTATTCTGGCCTGTTCCACTTAAATATAGTCTACAACTCAAATAACAATCAAGTTTTAGGCTTAATCCACATCCTGCCAGGCTTGAATGTAAAACTGACAGGGGATATTCAAAAAATAAGTTTATTGTTTCTTTACAAAAAAGCTAAAACAAAACAAAAAATAAAAAACCCCTCTGTAACTGAGTTTAAAATGTTCCTCTGCTTATGTGTGAATCATATGTCTGATCATTCATCTGTTACTGCAAACTCAGCTTTTTGTCATTTATTACAATGCTTTTTATTGTTCAATTTTATTTTGTTCTATTTATTTTCTGTAAATATCTTTTTTATTTAAAAAAAAATCTTGCACAGAGCGATTGTCTGCGTATTTGTGTAATTTTGTGTTGTACATATTCAATAGTGATTTTTTTTGTATACTGTGCATTTTGGACCTTCATAGCTGATTAGCTTGTACATTTATATGCCCACATTGCTTCTCTGTTTTTTTAAGTATCACAACATTGGACTTTCTTTGAATTAAATTAAACTGAATGCCTGTTCAAATGTTGTCTTTTTGTTGTTCAAAGTGTTTGTTAATGTAAATCTAACAGATAATACCTTTAGTATCATAAACTGCAGTACGGAGCCCGAGGTTCTGTATTGTAAAATAAAATCACAAGACTCCTCGAGACTGAGCAAAGGAATTAGCATCTAAGTTAGCCTCAATGCTAAACTACGAAAATATGTAAAGACAGTATACATTTTACAAACTACTATTGATGTAGTATTTTTTTCTTTATTGCTATACTATTGAATTAGAACAATAAAAGTATTTTGTGTAACTTTCATGTGCTCGACCGAAACTAATACATTGGAACTAGAACTATTTTTTTTCTTTCCCATTTCTCTTTAGGGGCTCCGTAACTTTTTAGCAACGAGTGTGGCATTTTATTTCTATTCTATATAATATGAATATTTTTGTTACAAGTATGTGAATACGATAACAGAAGACTGTTTCTGGCATGATAAATAATGTTAAGACTGCAGTATTAATAACATAACCCAACGTAGTGTTACTGCTCACGCCTGGTCGGTATCAGACACTAGAGGGCGGTGGAGTCCCATTTGAGCGAATAAACTTATTTTTAACATGGCAGTGATATAGTTATTATGCAACACCGTAATTTTGTTGCGTTCCAAACCTCATGTTATCAAATTCAGAACATGTGGAAAATATTTGGACATCAGTGATACAAATCTCACACACACAGATGCTGCAGCGCCTGGAGATACGAAGGTTTACTGTAGTAACGGTATTTAAAAGTTAAACAGAACTCACGCTGTTGTTGCAATTTACTGTTATTAAGGTGAAACAGTTATGTTTTCATTCTCTGTAGAGTTTTTTTTTTGGCTCTCGTATTGCTCAACATTGACACAAATAAAAGGTCAATACACATGTGAGAAAATGAATAAATGGTGATTAAATAACTAATAATAATTATGAAAAACCCAGACACTGTTCAAAAATTAAAAAACCATTTGCAGAAGCGTTCACCCTAATTATTCTGACTGACAAGGTCAGACAAAGGTTTCCATGGTGACTCCACACCAGCTGTCTGACCCCTTTCCCCATCTCTTACCCTAACTCCTCCCCCACCAGCCCCCACCTCCCTCCTTCTTCCCCCTCTGTTTCAATCAGCTGAGGTCCATGTGGGAAGCAGCAGAACCTTTATAAACTATTAAACAGGTCATTTGTGTGTATGTGTGTGTGTTTCATTTTTATGTGTAGGTTCTCTTGTGTAATAGCTGAAAGACTGGAAAAAAATGTGAATGTGTGTGTGTGTACACACGCGCACGTGTAAGTGTGTGTCTGCAATACTTCAACAGAGTTGATGAGTGGGAGGCCTCCACCAGCTCAGGGGTAATATATGAATAATGTTTGTGTTATTCCTCCACAAGGGGTAACTATTTCATAACTCTGTCTAAAAAATGTTTATCTGAACTGCCAAAACTGCGAGTCTCCGAGTTTGAGGGGATGTCATCACACTCATAACAACATTTTCAAGAAGAGTCAAATTTGTAAATTTTAAAACTTTATAGAAGCCTCCCTCCCCCCGTTTATTTTAACACCAAGGGGGCAACCTGGGTGACAGACACAGACACCTCCAGATAATTAATCATAAAACTTAATAATGAAAGATTTCTTAAAAATCAACAGCAAACAGCAGCACAGATGTGTTTCACACAAAACTGGTGAAAGAACAGGGATCTCCAATCACTTCACCAGCGTTACCTGAAGCCGCACACACCTGACCAATCAGGGAGTCACAGCTGCAGCACATGAAGTAATCACACAGCATCAGAAGAAGACATAAAGAGCAGAAGGAAGTCAGCTCTGAGGTCACTTAAAATGTGTATGACGTTGAAAGTCAAATCGAGTATTTTTTTTTCTTTTATAACTGTTAACAAAATATGTCTGTCCACGTCTTAAAATAACCATGCATTTCAAAATACCTGAAGACCGACGTTTCCACATCCAAGCCGATAATTGAGGTGCGTGCAAATGTTTTGAATTCTAACAATAGTTGTATTTTAAAATCCTATTTGTTCAAATACCAAAGTAATTATACGCAACCCAACCAGCCTTAAACACTTGAACATTTTAAGGCCAATAAACACAGCAGTACCACCCAAATTCCATGGCACTGAATATTTGGCCAAAGCGTAACCAAAGTATAAGGTTTATTACAATAAATTAAGTTTATTATAAAAAAAAAAAAACCTGGACAGAGGCAAAGCCTGCAGCAGACCCTGAGAGAGAAGTAAAACACTCCCTGCCTAAAACTCCTGAATGGTTGATTTCTACAAGGTTAATTATTGACATCTGCCAATGACTTGAATAATAAAATATCATGAAAGGATAATCAGGTACACCCATTTTCAACAACATAACAGATGTACCATAATTTGTTTTGTTATAATCCATAAGAATACCTGTCCATGTGCTTTGTGTTAGTTTTCCCACCAATTAGTTTAATCTCATTAGTGTGTAATCGTTCCAGATTCTAGACACTCTTTATTCCCTCATTCAGAACAGAAAGATGTGAATCACAACGCAAAACAGGGAAAAGGATAAATACAAGTCTATATTCAACTCTGTCTATGTTTCTTTACACCTAAGCTTATATATATATATAAATATATAAATAGAAAAATGACATATTTATGACATGGCAGATAATCCCTGATAATTGTCATCAGTGTCAAATCCACAGCATGGAATCCCTGTCCTCGCATTATGTGAATGTGGTAATGATGACTTGGAGTGAAATAGAGAACGTGAGAATGAGAGAGAGAGAGAGACTGGTGTAAAATGTATGAGGGCGTTATTCATAGACACATTTCCATTGGAGCCCCTGTCTCTGTCTCCTCCTCTTTTTCTCTCTCCACACGACTCACCCACTCACAAACAAAACACAGGAAAAACCACAGGAGAAATTGTTTTTGAAAAATATTCTACTCCAACAATTTTTAGCAGTGTTTTTGGATTTTATGATACTGAGCAGGTGAAAACAGACAAGTCAAAAAACGTGAATCTTTCAAATTAAATCCGAGGAATGGGAATGAGAGACAGTGAGTCGTCCAATTTCAAGGTTACAGCCATCAAAGATCTTTGGCAAACAGTCAAGGTGCAGTGATTTGGTACAGTGAGAATGATTTTCTGTTTCTCATACAGTTAAATTTAAAGAATAAAAAAAATTGTCATCCTTTACGGCTACATACTCTGCAATGGAGACATCTGTCACTTAAATGGACGCAAATGATCAAATGGTTCTGGGGCAAAACATAGTGTGTGTGTGTGTTTGTGTGTGTGTGTGTGTGTGTGTCAGTCAGTGAAAAGAAAGGCAAGACCCCAAACATCTGTTATCCTGTTCAGAGAGAATAGACTGCCAATCCTGGCCAAGAGGAGCTGATTGGTCCAGCAACATCCTGTCTGGTGATTAAACAGTGATCAGAACAGAGAACAGTCTTATTTCAGAACTGACATGTTCTGATAGAAGTGAATGATTACCCAGAGGTAAGAAGCCAATGGTTGTTGTTTCTGGAGCCTTGACTGCGGTTGTAACCCCTGCCATCAAAATCTCAGTGTAGAACAGAGTGAATCCTGGCTTTAGCTCCAGGTTTATGGAATTTGTCTGTGACCTGTAATACAGGATTATTTCTTTATTAAGTGTGTGCTCGTGTTAGAGCTACTGGAAAATACAGATTTAAAATCTCCAAATGACTGTGCTGACCCTGTGCGGTGTAAATAATTCAGTTAAAAATGAGAGTGTCTAGACTTCATGGACACACACACACACACACAAATTTTCATTAGTTGTGAGGACTAAACATAGACATAAAGTCTTCCTTAAATGTTTTCCACTAAATTTAACTTATTATTATGAATGTAACCCTAATCTTGGTCCTTATTCTGACCCTAATCTAAGGCCTCATTTTAATCCTCACTTTAAATCTGATGTTATACCTCACAATGGGGACCTGAAAACAATATGTCCACTCAAGGACAAAGGGTCCCCACATCACAGCATTTTATTGTTAATGTCCTCATAAGTATACCTAGACCACACACACGTACAACATTCACACATAATAATTGCAAAGTTTCAGTTTGCTGTTCAGGGCCCCTTGTACAGTGAACAGCACTTATCCCTTCACAGTTCATCTTTTGTCTCCTGGTTTGTTGTTTTTGTTCTCGGAGAAAAATCCGTGATGAGGAAATGAAGAGGCCAAAAAACACTCACTGTGGAAGTACAAATGATTTCAAGGCTCTGAACCACAACCCTGCAGCTTAAAAAACGACTGAGTGAGCTTCGTATTTTTTAACTAGAATCCAAACCACGAAGGAATGAGTCATTTCTGATCAGTGAGTCAAAGTCAAGGAATTGTCCAAGAATGAGAAAGCTGCAGGATATGTTTGACTTTTTTAGTGAAAAACTAATTCCAGTCACACAGTGGCAGGATGTTATACCGTAACAGAGAAGAGTGAAAAGACAGAGGGCAGTGAAGACGCTGCAGTAACGTCATGTTATTATGAGAAAACCATTTTATTGACTCATTAGACTGACATGGCTGGGACCACACAGTCAGAGATGTGTACGTGTCTGAGTATAAAAGAAAGGAAAACAAATGTTTGTTTTCAGGTTCCACATTAAGCAGTATGTATTTGGGTTTCTCCAGGTGCTCCTCCTCCTACTACTATATTTTTTACTCTAAAATGTGATACCAAATGTATTAATGTGTGTGTGAATTGTTGAATTTATCTGTTCTTTGTCCCGATGCTGTACACCAGCTGCACACTGGGGGCTGCTGGGATTGACTTCAGCTCCCTTTGAGACCCTGAATACTTAAGAAGGTGAATAAATGTATAAATTGATTTTTTTTTTTTAAATAGCAGAATCAAACTGATTCAGTAAAACTGGATTAAATGCCTGGTTACAATTATTAGCCCTTACAATAACTGACCTTTTTAGACAGAAAAGCACATTAAACATTGAATGTGAGGCTTCAACATTTTTGTTTATTTAAAACAAAGAAAGTTATACTAGAATTAAAGGAAACGAGGCATTAAGAATGGTGGTTTAAAAAAAAAAAGATCGGTCACTGACATATAAACAATCCAAAGCTTACCTGGGAAGAGGTGTAGAGCATCATGAGAAATAATTTCTTTGTACCCAGTTACATTTTGTTTGCTTTTAAATGCAGAGAGTATGATGAAGAAAGGAGGAGCTAATAGTTTTGTCTTCATCTGTACAGGAAGAGGAAGAAACAGAGAGGAGAGGGGAATGGTAGCAGCTCACTGCTCCCTCCCTGTCGATGATGTAATGTCATGAATATTGAAACAGGTTCCTCGGTGCTCGGGAGGCGCTGGAGTCAGCATCCCTTCTGCCTCCTGCTCATCATCACCACTGCCCTTCAGCATCCGACAAATCAACAAGAAAAAGGTAGGTCATCTTTTTGTTGCTTTTTTCCATGTGGTCCAAAAACCTCATCTTGTCTCAGATGAGTCTTTCTGTTCATCCTGTGTGAAGGACGGAAGAGTGACTGTGCTCCACATTATGCTCTTGGTTTTTCCTGTCAGGCCTCCGAGCTGATTTACTGTTGCTGCTCTTGGTTGTTTGCACATAGAAAAGTATCTGGAGCTGCACTCATTCTTGTTGAGTCCAATTTAAAACCCTGTTTTTCTTTTTTTTTTTCTTTTTCTGTCCAGCACTGAGTGGGTGTCTGTGTGGGAGAGAGCTTCTGTGAATCCCAGTCGATGTTTTGCTTTAAAATGACAGATAGACAAAGACAATGATGCCTCAGTTGTGCGACCTGATGGTTTAGTTGGAAAAGCACGGTTTTGTTAAGGGTTGGAGCTTGTCTTCCGTCCATGAGCAATGAGTCATTGAGCTGGATGGGAGTTAAATGATGGCTGACAGGAAGTAGCTCAGTCTGGATGAAGCGCGTCCTGAAAATTATCAAGAGTCTGGATCAACCTTTTGTCTATATACGTTGAGAAGGTGGAGGATCAGATTAGAAGCCACTCAGCCGTTTGCCCTTTGTCAACAAAAACACCAGCTAGGTTAGATTGGGTGTAGCAACCAATGACCTTACCCCCATTCTTTGCTCCCCCTTTCTCTCCCCACAATAAGTGTTGGTTGTCTAATTGCTTGAGCTGCAGCTGATGTCCCAAATATCTCATCAAAGTGGGGCTTTGGTGGCCAACTGACTGACTAATCACTGGTTATTACCTGTCTCTGAGTCCTTTCCAACGACAGAAGCCCAATTATTTCCTGGCAGGTTGCAGGGGAAAAAAAACTCCATAAAAGCATGCCTTGTGTTTTTGGTTATTCATTGCCGAGCAACAAAGTTAAACCGCTTTTTTTGTACGAATCATTTTGAGTTATTTGCAAGACCACAGAGTCGGATTTTGTGTTTTAAACTGTGTTTAGATTTTACGTCGTTAGATGTGACTGGTAGCTGTTTGTTTTCTTCTCAGCGGAGCAGATATTGATGAAGGGAATGGACGATGCTGAGGATGAGCTGAGTCTCTGACACCATGATGAACCCATCCTCCGCCGACTCGGCGCGGCAGTCAGACAATAGCAGCCGCAAACAGCCGCGCTCCTCATCGCCGGCAGGACTCAAAGACGGTGGCTCGAAGGCTGCTGCACAGAAGGGCAGCAACTCCTCCAAGCTGCTCACATCAAAGCAGGGAGGAGTAGGTGGTGCAGGAGGCAGTGGAGGTGGTGGTGGTGGTGGTGGAGGAGGTGGAGGAGGAGGAGGAGGAGGCGGGAGCACCCGCCGAGGCCATCCCA